GATTTTCTAAGTATATTCGATAGAATTATTCGAATATCAAAACATTACTCCAAATCTTTCAAATATCATTTTTAATCCTCACTCAAAGTGTAAAATTAAGTTTTAATCTTAAAACAATTTCAAAATAATTTTACAAAGTATTTCGAACCATTTTAAAGCCAAAAATTCCAGATTGCTCAGAGGGAACCGATTCCCCCCTAAGGGGGTACCGATTCTCCCCTGAATGGTTTGGCTCTGAGATTTCCAGAATGCTCGGAGGGAACCGATTCCCCCCATAGGGGGTACCGATTCCCCCCTTGTATAACGGTCGAAATATTTGAATTTTACACTTAGGGAATCGATTCCCCATAGGGGGTACCGATTCCCCCACGCTCCAAGCTGTTTTATTAATTGTTTTCACACTAAAATGGCTATATGATCTTCACTAATCATCCCCAACGTTCATAAATGATTCAAGGTGTATTTAAACAAGTTCTGAAGCCCTTGATCAACAAGAAATCATAGAGAAACAAGAGAGAAAGCATCAAACACCAAGTTTGTGCAAATCAAGCCAATTTTCCTTTCAATATTCATTTTGCTTTCAAGAACACCATTTGTGCTCATTTGTAATTATCTTTGAGTGTTCTTTTCTTGTTCTAGAATTGTGCAAACATCTTACCTTGTGAGGTTTTCCTTGTAAGTTTGCAAATTTGTAATCTTCTCTTTGGGAAAGAGTGTTCTCAAGAATTGGGGTATATTCTTGAGGGTGTTGTAAGGTTATCTCTTTGGCCTCAAAAGAAAGAACAAATTAGTGAATTTGTTGGAAAATCCTTAGTGTGGATAGCTAAGGTAGTTGACGTAGACTTTGATTGAGAAAGTCGAACCACTCTAAATTGTTGTGCAATTACTTTCAATTTTCTGCAAAAGCTTCCACCAAATTTTTAATTGCCAATTCACCCCCCTCTTGGCCAATTCCGTCAATCGATTAACTCAACAATTGAGGATTTAGTAAGTGATTTGGATAAGTCTGGAAACTCTGATGAGTTTACATAGTGTATAATTACAATGGGTTATGATCAAATTAATCAAGTACGTCAGCATTACATGATATTGTGGAAGCGTGGAAATGAAATTAAGAGCATTGGAATATTTGTTAGTCTCCTTAAGATCTGTTCAGTGATGACTCAGAAGATGATATATGGATAATAATATTTGGTATTAAAGAGTAAATACCATGGAAGGTTAATGAATTGACAAGTTGATAAGTATTGTTTCTGAGAGCTATTCATTTGGAGTTGTTCGATAAATTGATTAATCGACATAGATTGTAAATGTCCTGAACCTTCATTTCTTCCTTACCAGCTCAAGTCATATTCTGAATAATTGATGATTTTGTCAGTTATTGAACTCTTCCAATAGTGATTCTGAATTCCGATATTCTATCAGTATACTGAAGATCTGTGTTTTTCTGTTTGATAAGATTATCCAGTACCTGAATAATATATGTAAACTCTGGTGTGTTCCCTAATTATATAAATATTTTATCTGATTTCCGACTTGAATTATGTTCTGATACATTACCTGAATTCTGTTCTGATTTCTGATCTGGATTCTGTTCCGATATCTGTTCTGAATTCTGTTCCGATATCTGTTCTGAATTCTGTTTTGATTTTTGATTTCTCCGTTTACCGACGGAGAAATGTTTTATTTGGGGGGTTTATTGTTGGAGGAAGATTATCTGCATGCTTCTCGGCTGTGTGCTCAGGGCCTTACTGGTTGTGCGGGGTGTATGGTTCCGGAGAACCTACACAAACAGATTGTGAAATGATGGAGGTGTATATATATATGTTTTAAAATAAAAATCTGTATCTTTTTACTGGTTTTATGGGAACACACTAAATAACATATTCTGATCTCCTGAATTCAGTCATCCGAAATATTTCCATATGAACTGAAAGTTCATTGTCTGTTACCACCTGAAATATCAGTAGGATCTCTGCTCAGCATAAAAATCTGTAAATGTTCGGAAACAATAAGGAAATATATATTTATCTGTATCTGCACGTTCATCAGCATCATCTGGTAGTTCTGTATTACTGAGCTTTTCGAAGCTCACTCTATTACTCACATTTTCAGGTTAAAAGAATTGTACCAGTACAGCTATCGACATCAGTAAGAGAGTTCTTCCGGCGTTGTTGCAGAGTATGATACATGTGATTAGGGGGCATGTAATTGTATTTTGATTTATATACGAGTTTGGACATCTGTTTTATTTTTAAATAGCGACAACTTATTTTATTAGTTTACATGTACTGATAAAAAAGTTTTAAATTTTTCGTTATTTTTACAGTGGGTCGCTCCGGTGGCCCAAATTTGATACACCGGATCAGATCTGATTACCTGCATTGGTCTGGGGGTTACATTTTTTAATTTGAAAACAGTATACATTTGTTTTTATTTCTCAATCTATTATATTTGTTACAATAAAAGTAAAGTCGGTCAAATTATATATCAAATTCATTGTTCATTTTTTTTAAATTAAAAATATAAGATCGTTATACTTACATATGAACTTCACTATTAATTATTTTTTAAATTTAAAAATTCATTATTTTACAAAGAAAATGTTTATTTCATAAAGTGAAATTTTAAATTAAAAAAATGGATGATGTTAGCACGACAAGCACATATGAGTACCGTTATTAATGAGTATTATTAAATTAATTTATAAAACGTTAAATTATAAAGTATTAAACTCATAATTATAAATTAATTGAAAATCTAAATGTAGTTTAATTAAAATACAATATTTATAAAATATTAGTTTTAGGGTAAACTATATCATTAATCACCTAACTATTTACCCCATTTACTTTAATAATTGATTTTTTAATTTTGTCAATCTGGTTACCTAACTATTTAAATATTGTCAATCAAGATACATGTCGTTAAATATTAACGAGGAGATGATGTGACAGTTAATATTGTATAATTATACATTTAATCCTTATTACTTACATATTATATTAATTTGGTCCTAACTTTTATTTAATTCAATAAATTTAATTCTTAATCCGATGGTTACATGTGTCACTGTGTGATTATATTTTTTTAATATTTTTTATTTAATAAACTTTTCATTAAATCAAATAGTGGCATGTGTTACCAATTGAATGAATGGAAAATAAATTAAATCAATAACCGCTGCTGGTGTTGTTTTAACCTAGGTCGCAAGCCGAAAAATTGAGCACCCTAACGGTTAAGCTAGACCACTAAATTTATCTAGTATAAAAAAATAATCTATATAATTTATAATATAGTTAATGGTAATAAATGACCTTATAAAGACTCAAACATGAAATAATTTAATAGTATGAAAATATAAAATATATATAAACAAATATTATAATTGATTAATAAATGAATATGTTTCATTTATATTTTAAATCATGTTTAATACAAAAATTAAAATAAAAGTGAATTTAATATGTTATAATTAAAATGTATCATTTTACATATTTTAATTTTATTTAACAACCCTATATTAAAATAGACTAATTCAATAAAATCAAAATTCCCCTAAAATTTTCTTCAAATATATAATGAATAAATAATAAAATATAAAAATTTTACTCTAACCGAGATATAAACAAGTCAATGCATAAGTTAAAATGCTTACCACGATAAGCCCTCAACTATTAGGAAAATTCTAAGTTAACGAAACTCTTCATTATATTTCAATTATAATATATTAAAATTATTTTTATATTTATTTTTTCATTAAAATGATTTAAAATATAAATAAAATACATTCACATATTAATCAGTTATAATACTTGTGTATTAAAATCATATTATGGTATTATTCACTTATTCCATGTTGGAGTTCTTATTAGGTCATTTTTCCTTTTTTATTGCCATTAATTATATATTATATCGTGATAGACTTGTCATTTGAATGGTGCAGCACAACGGTTGGGGAGTTTTCTTCCTCTCCTCACGTCTAAGGTTCAAACCCAAAAAAATGCAATCACATAGTGACACATGTCACTATCTGATTGAGTATTAAATTTATTGAATTAATTAAAAGTTGGGACCAAATTAATAGAATGTGTAAGTAATGAAGACTAAATGTATAACTATACAAATTTTATTACTGTCACATAATTACATTTAGATTTTTAACTAATTTATAATTATACGTTTAGTACTTTATAATTTAATATTTTATAAATAAATTTAATAATACTCATCGCTAACGGTTCTCATCCACGCTCGACGAGCGTTATAAAATTTTTCTTAAAAAAAATAATGAAATAGTGAAGTCAGTATGTAAATATACTGATTTTAATTTTTTACTAATAAAAACTGAAATGAATAGTAAAGTTGATATGTAGTTCGGCCGACTTCAATTTTACTGTAACAAATACAATAGGTTAAAAATAAAAAACGAATGTGTACCATTTCTAAAATTAAAAAATCCATGTACAAGTGCTTAGCTTTCTCTAAACTTTAGGTGATTTAAGTCAATGATTTTTACCTAGTTGAGTTCGAGTTATGTTTACATAATTTATTATAATTAATATGTTCACAAATAATGTCATCTTGACCATCTTGCAAAAGTATTATTTTTAACATATGCTCGTGTATCTTAATCTTGGATTGTATTAATCGAACATTTTAAAAAGATTAATTTGGATTTAAAAATGTTAATCATTTTCAAATTTTATTTAGGTTCATTTGCTATTTTATATAAATATTTATAATTGAAAATACATCATGCTTATAATCAGACAAGTTTACTTATTATATGGTACATAAATTGTAAGAAACCAAATTGAAAACACTTTATTTAATCCAAGTAAATTATAATAAAAATGAAATGTATTCTGAAACAGTGATTTAATCTTAGATACTGCAATAAGTTTTAACACAGTATGCAACTCCTTGGGCACGTTGGATGGACAATTTTCAAGAATTCTTCGTGGTCATACGGTTTGAAGAGTATGGGATTTTTGTCATCAACAAGTTCTCTTGGAGCCTTCACTGGGTAGCCTCCTTTCGTCCATGCAAACACTCCGACGGTATATCTGACCTTGTTTTCCGTCATCATCACCCGACGGCAAGGTGGAGATAATCGACCATTTAACCATACCTGCCATGATAGATCTAGAAATATTTTTAAAGATAAACACATATATTAAAAAAAACTCACAAATTCTCACATAAACGTAATTCCACCACTGCATAATCATATTTCCAATACACAATTTATGTGCCACGACATCACTTTTTAAACCCATAACATGTGGCATGTCATTATTTGGACATGTAATAATTTTACTTTATCACATGAACACGTGATATATGTCACATCATTACTTTAGACATATCACAGTGTCATGTCATCACTTTAGACATATGACAGTGACATGTTATCACTTTGGGCATATGCCATGTGATACACCATCGCTTTAGACACATGACATGTGACACATCATTACTTTAGACATGTGACATGTGCCACATCATCACTTATGTACATGTGGCAGTGTCGCAACAACCTTTTAGACACATAAGACTTGTTACGTTAGTAACAATCGTTAACCGTAAGTTAATTAACTATTTTCACCCAATCACGAGCCATTTTGACTTAAAATAAAATATTATAGTTAAAATACTTAAAAAATAAAAAAAAGAATTAAAATAACGATTCAAACTCATGTTATAGATGAATTTTAACATTATACCGAAGAATAATTATAAATTTACTTTCTATTAGTCGATCCATTAATTTGTTATCACTTACACTAAGAGATTCTCCATCTTCAATGATGACAATTATAGAGTTGGGTGAAGGATTCACACTCGTCCATCTGCCATCTTTGCTTTGAATCTCCAATCCATTAACCTCGTTTTAATACAAAAGAGACAGCATATTCTGGTCATGGTGCGCAACTAACCCACTGGTTGGCTCGCTGGTGTTGGACCCTTCATATTTCATGGCCCTCAGCTGATAATTTGTGGAGTCAATGAGCTCAACCACGTATTTCTCAACCCCCAAAACTCTTGAAATCATCCTCATAATTGTCTTCTCTAATTCCATTACTAGCTGAGCGAATGATACCATAGTTTTACTGCCAAATCCAGAGCAAAACAAAACCAAACAATTTTAATTTGGAAAAAAAATGTTTAATAGGTTTGCTTAAGGGTTTTTGCAGGTGAAGTATATGATATGTGTTTTGTTTGTTTTCGATGATTAAGAAATATTTTGAACTGATATTACCTTATAATCATTTCAAACTATTAAAAGAATAATCTTTTAGTGCCTGAAGCTTATGTTTCCTTGAGGCCATAAAGGGGTAGCGAGCTGTTGTTCAACGTTTTCAGCAATACTCCCATCATCAGCCGATATGATTTCCAACGATCTCGGTGGTGGAGACTCATAATAGCCACGAAGGGGCTTATGGGAAACACAAAGCTTTTTTGTTTGTAAAGGCAAGTCGAAGAGCTATTCCAAGGCTCTAAATACCGGAGTCCGGACCTCCACGACTTGGTCGAACAAAGCCTCGAAACAACCGTACTCCTCTAGTGCCTCCTGGACTCCATGTTTCATCGAACCCCATTCATGGCTGCCGGCTTTATCGAGTCTTACTTCGAGAAATCTATAACCGGAATCATGGCCATCTATGTCAAAGTCTGCTGGGGTTCTTTTGGTTTTCTCTTTATCTGCAACTAGAAACCGGAATCACAATGCCATATATTGATCTTGAAACATTAATCTAATGGGTAATTAAATGATTAGTATCTCAACTATTATTTTTGTTCCGTTTTGGTCATTCAACTATCTCTTTTTTAAAATTATACCTAATATTTAGTTTTGGTTTCATTTTGTTCACCCGTCATTAAAAAATTTATAGTGATACTAATGTGTCACCATAAGATAATGCCACATCATCATTGAAAATAAAAAAGAAACACCATATCAGCAGTTTTGTTTTAATGGTGGGTGATCAAAATAAAATCAAAATGTAACATTAGATATAATTTTAAAACATAATAGATCGCCTACAAATTTGATTCAAATCAGTATAACTCTCTTAGTGTAGTACATGGTGTCTTGAATTTCTCAACAAGAACTCGATCTGATACGCCTCAATTAGAGGAAGGACTTGTGATACGTGATCTACGTTCCAGATTTAGAGGTGTGTGTCTCATTTGTGTCAAATATTTGTATGTATTGTTGTTAAAAGTTGTATGTCTTTTAATATGAAATTTAGCATGATTGTAATGTTTCGTGAAACTATGCTACCTTGAATGATCGATAAGCATGTCAATAGTATATTGTTTGTTTGATTCACTTGTATATGAGACGTTTGAGATACATATTGTTTATCTGATTCACACATACATAAGAAGTTTGAGATAAATATAGTTTACTTATTCACCCATATGTGAGAAACTTGAGATAAATATTGTTTACTTGATTTACCCACAAGTGGGAAGCTTGATAATGTGTTCTTAATTGAAAATATATTTGTTCATTGTATATCATGTTGCATTGTACATGAGATGAGTTGTGTGGGAGGAAGTTATTGTTACTGTAGTGTGTATCATACTATTGTTTGTTACTGTAATACGATTATGTATTGCTGCTTCTTGGAGAAATAAGGTGTTATTGAGTTCTGGAGAACTCTGTTTGCGGAGATTAGCGGATGGACAGGTATATAAGGCTTACTAGCATATCATGCATTTCATATGATGTTAAGCGACTGCTTACTATATTGGCATGCTCTGTGGTTACTTGTATGCACTTAGAAACCACATTAGGCTTTATAGATTATTCCTTGTTTTCTTCCTCTTTCATATTGACGTTGATGACTAGTTTCGGACTCGACATAAAATGGATATTTTCGTGCTTATTTTACATATGTTTTTAAGAAGTGTAACATATTTCTAATTTGTGGCTTTGTAATCGTTTTTATAGGACTTTGAACTATGTTTTGGATTTTATACTTTTATTTTTGAAAATAAACTTCTTCCTAAACTTTGTGACATTCTGGATTCGGTTGTAATGTCAGGTCTAGGGTGTTACAAAGGAAGTCACCGAGAGATCCCTACAGTTTTGTACGAGGGTTATTTTTATTAATTATATGAGAGATTTTATAAATATTGCAAGATACATTTAGTTCACAAAAAAGATCATTATCAAGAGAACGATCTTTTTCAAAATTGTACCTCAACATTTAGTTCACGAAAAATATCATTATCAAGTAATAATTTATTACCAACATTAGCATTTTTTGATTAAAAAAATGGAAATGTCATCCTGTAAATTCTTAGGTAGTACACAATTCTTATCATTTTAGACAAAAATATTCTTGAAATAATGAGTTTTTTTCTTCATATGAATCATTCTCAATTCTTTTACTTCGTGTTGTATTCAAAATTATAAACATAATAAAAAAAATAAAATGAGTTTGATTTAGTAAAATATTAATAAATTTGAGTAATTAAAATTATTTTATATTTTTTTATATTTAATATATTAATCATTTATAATCGAATTGAACAAAGTTTGATTAGTTTGGTCGATGACTGAATTAAACAAAATTTTTGAAAATATTTTTAGTTATATATTTTTTTTGAAGGAGTAGTTATATTAATTTGAATTTAATAGAGATATTTTTTATTTGAGTTAAAATTTGACTGGATCTTAAAAGTTTAATAGGTATAGTGTGACTAAAAAAAGAGTTGGACCTTCATTTTTAATTAGTTTAAACTTAAAGTATATATAATATATTAAATATTTAATAATTTTAATTAGTTCGTTTAATTAAATGATTTCAAATTGAATTAAACCGTTAACCAAACTTTGAAAATTTTCTTAACCGTTAATCGATCTAACATAAAATTAATCAAACTAAATTTTGATTCGATCGATTAATTTAATTAAAATCGAAAACCAAAAAGTGAGCAGCCCATATCTTTATTGATTTTAAAATTGAAAACAGGGCCGTGTTAGACAAATGGCTCTGGAGAAATGGAGTTGAGCAATCAAGCCCGAGGAGAGTATCAAATTTAATATCTCTATGCTAAAATAAGTTAAAAAAGAAATGAAGAATATAGAGTATAATAGTCAGAGCATATTATATTGACTGTATGGCTGTATTACATTGGCAGTGAGACTATCAAGAATCAGTATACTGATGAAGATGAATCTGTTCGAGGAGCTTACCTCTAAATTTATTAATGGCATTGAAGCAAAGGCATATATGCTCCTCAAGTTCTTTGAGCTGGTCAAAAATTTTGCCATGGTTATTGCGGAGATGTTTCACAACTTCATGTATGGGGTATATGTCCCTACCCCTCTCGAGTCCAAACCGTATAAGCTCCTTGTCTCGCTCGACCGAATCATGTAACCAGGCAACAAGGCAGACGATGGTGTCAAGGTCTTTGATATGGAAAAAAGACCCACTGGCGGCAGCGTCCAGTTGAGCAATGTGTTTCTTCTGGACACGACTCGGAACATAAATGGGACAAAGGGGGGTAGCAAAAAGGCCTACAATAGCAGCAAGTGCATGAGTGGAGATAACCACGGCTGTAACAGCGACCCCGAGGACAGTGCCGATGAGACAAATGGCAGATCGGGTCATTGCGCGGTCCAAGATACGACCTCTGGAACGGGATTTGTGGAGGCGCTGATCAAGCTGTTCCTTGAGCTGGGAGAAACTGCGGCGCATTTCGTTGAAGTTATGAGAATCAGGGGAAGGAAAAGGATTGTCGAGGCTATTGAATTTGAGGAAAATATCGAAAGCCCAGTCACACTGCGAGTGATTGATGGAACTTAGTTCATTGGGGAACACTTGAAGAAGCTCGGTAACGGGACCATAAAGGAAACGGGCATTAGATATGCATTTGTAGAGCTCGAGGCAGAGAGTGCTGATGCTTTCGCTGTGATCGAAATAGGTAGAAACCAAGCGAGTGAGAGTAGCCTTGGGGTCGGTGTGGCGAAGAGCTTGGTGGACGGATTCTCTGTTGGGGTGCAGTACCTGCGACAAACTCAGCTGATAGCTGTCTTCCATACCGTCGGTTTCGATCGAGTTCTCGACGTGCACTTGATCTTCAATTCTGGAGCGAATCTCATTGTAAGAATTGGTCTGCAACGCGCGAGTGTATTCGTCAGTGAGATTGAAGGAGGGTGATAGCTGAGTTGTGCTGGATCTGGGTGTTTCGTCAGTTGAATTCCCTGAAATAGATAAAGCAATTCTCATTGAGGCATTTACACAAACACTTCCCGTGTTATGTGAGTAAAACATCGAGTGAACCCGTAAAAGCGTTACCTTGCGAATTTGGTGGGGGGCAAGAATTTAGACCGTTCGGATGAGTTTGAGATTGATGTTGCGACTGAGGCGAGCTGGGAAATGATTGGGCCGATGAATTGAGATTGAAGGAGAGGCACTGCATCTTCTTCTCCAATGGCCGAAACCCCGCACATATATAAGAGAAAGGAAAAATGAAAACAGGAGGTTTGTTTCACTTTTAAGAAGATCGCTGTGATTACCTTTTTTTTCAGAATATTTTATTGAAAAATAAGAGGAGAAGAAGCAGAGAGAGAGAGAGAGAGAGAGAGAGAGAGAGAGGGGGGGGGGTTAAAATAAATATAAATTTATTTTCTATTTAATTAAATGGATAAAATATACAAAGGGTCCCCTACTATAGGTTGCTTATTTTTTGAGTCTCTTAACTATTAAAAATAACAAAATAGTCTCTCGACTATATCATGTTATTTTATTGAGTCATTGACTATTAAAAGTTACGATATGGTCACTTTCCAAACCCATCATTTTTCGTTAAAAAAATTATATTCATGTGAGCTGGACGTTAACCTATTAATTAAGATATAATAAAATAATATTTTTGATGATGTATATTGGCACCGTTGTTGCTTTTAAACACTACTTTGTCAAAATAATATTTCAAACACTATCTCGACGACATAATATAAACGAAGAATCTATCTATAAAATATAACTTAAGTGGTTATAGGATAAGATTTTATCATATCTCAATCAACAAATTAATGTTCAACTTAGATGACCATCATTTTTAACAAAAAAAATGATAATTTTGGAGCATGTGGATAGTTAAGTGATCATTTTATAACTCTTTAATAGTATGGGAACTCATCAAAATAACGCTCTATAGTTAAATAATTATTTTATAACTTTTACTTGTTAAGGGACTTAAAAAAGTAATATCGTATAGTCAAGGGACTATTTTTATATTTTACCCTAATTTAATTTTGTATAAGAATCACATTAGGCATCAGATTTCAAACATTGACAACTAAACAGATGTCTAAGAAAAGTCAATGACGGGATTTATTAGTACTTATTCGGCCTTGGTCATTTTTTTTTTTGAAAAACGGGTTGGTCACTTGGTTGTAGGTCTGTAATTTATTATATATTATTAAAATAAAAATATAATATCTTATATTATTATAATATAATTGATTATTTTATTATAATATTAAAAATATAATATTATATTATTAGAAATATTAATAAATATATTTTAAATATTTTAATAATTAATATTTTGATTAAAATGATATTAAAATATTTTATTAATATTAAATTCGTAAAATAAAATTATTTTGAGTATTTATTCTTTAAAGTGAAAAGTTCGGAAAATGGCTTACGGAAAATCAGATCGTAAGTTATTTTCCAGAAAACACAAAGGAAATTATGTTGATCAGGAAAATGTTTTACGTTGACCAACCAGTTTTCCTCCAACCAAACACTGGAAAATATTTTTCGAAAAACGAATTACGTGAAACAAACAAGGGAAAACATTTTCCGAAAAATGAATTACATAAAAAAAAGACGGGCAAACAAACAGACCCTAAATCTCATTTTTTTTAGTTTTTTTAATAAAAATGTAAATTGAATTAATGATTATCACGATTAAAAAATTAACTTTTAATTTTTTTATTAAATCATTGTCCTTTTTATAGTAGTTTTTGTCTTTATTAAATGATTTTTTATTGGATTCATATTCATCGAAAAAATATTCTAATGTCTACAAATCTCAATTAAAATTAAAATTTAAAATCTTTTGATTTTCAATGTTAATTATCGAATTAGATTGAAAATAGACTATATTAATATTCTGAACAAACGAATTCTTCTCATCATTGAGATTGATTCATGCTTGCTCCGTTTATAAAAAAAACCTTAACAGTAGTTGAAAATTCGAATCCTTAAAATTCTTTTTTGAAAGAAGGCTTCGTGCCACGTCAATATATTTTAATTGCGACAATAAGAGTGATTTAAAAGTTTAATGACTTTAATCCGAGATTTAAAAACTCAGTGATTAAAATGAAATCACCATAAAATTATAGTCACCATAAGTGTAGTTTATCCATTTGTTTATTATGCCATAAAATTATAAAATAAATTACTGTTCGGGCGAGGAAAGCCGCCCGCCCTACTTGATGTGGCCATTGGCGTCCCAATTCTTGCCGCTCAGAAGACAATCCAGGCCTTTCGAAATCCCTTTATTTGGTACGCGCCTTTCTTCTTTTATCATTTCGTTTTCTGTATTAATAAGGTCCCCCTTTTGTTTAAATTCGGAACGGAAAGTAAATTACATCTGGGTAGCCTTGTTTTGCATAATCATGTCCGCATAATCCACCCATAACTTATTTGATTTATTTTTCCCATCTGGAAACTATTGATTTTGATGTTAATTGCTCATTAAATACTACTTAACAGTTATATACTAACTATAAGAAAGTATTGCTGAAGATTGAAGGAGGAAACAAGATTATGAGCAATGGCTGCTTAACCATATTTAGTTAAAATATGAGTTGTTTAGTTGTTACCCTATTTCCCTTGTTGTTCTTATACTACTCATGATAAGAGAATTAAGGGTTTAAATGAAGTTTTATTCTTAGGTCAGAGCTAAAGGGGAATGTTAGCTCATCTACACTTTGTTTTCTCTTATCCAAGTGGATTCTGTTGCCTCTTTAATTCACCTTTGGCTATTGGCAATGATATCAAGCTGCTATTATATATCTTTGTTTGGTTTTTCATTTGATTGTCTTGTATAAATCAATTCTTTTATAATCAGATTTCGTGTGTAATTGCCATTTCAAAATGTCTTTGATCTCCCCCCCCCCTTTTTCCTGATGAAAACATTTCTTTGTTTTTTTAAGAATCCATATATCTGCTCTTCGAAAAACAGCTGACTGCATTCTTCTTTTACTTCAGACCTTGTTTCATGATTCATGGAGAATGGAAATGGGAATGATCCGTGCAAAAGTTCGGCCTTACAGGAAGATGTTTATCAAGGGATTGGTAACTATACACCACTTTTGACTTGTTAAATATTTTCCTGTTGATTCTCACTGTATATCTTGTTCCTTGGCTATCTTATTTTGCTTCATTTCTGCACCTTAAGAGGTCGTTCTGATTGTTGCCCTTTTTAATGTTTTTTGTTTCCAGTTATTGAAACTGAAAATATGTTTGGTTGTAATGTTTTCGTTGCAATAACATAAAAAGAAATAGCGCATAAGCGATTGGGACTGGAATTAGGATAATTGTAAGGTTCAGTTCTTTGTGCTTACAGTGTTGAATTACAAGAGTTGTAAGGATTTGATTCATTGTGCTTACCATTTTCATTTGGTTAGCATTTATTAGCAATTTTCTTACTATAGCCACCTTGGTACTGTTTGTTCTTGTGGTAACAGTACTGAAAATGATACCAAAATTTGAAAGAAAACAAGTTATGCTTACAACATTCAAAATTTTGACTTTTTTTTAAAGAAAACTTGGCCTCTGAACACAAAACACAAACACTGCAAAATGTGCCCGAAGCCATCCATTATTATTATTTTATCATGGTTCTTTGTTTTTCTTGTGTGTGTGTGTGTATTACCTGTTCCATTTTTTGTTCTGTTTGTGAACAATTAGTTTTGCATGTTGAGTGACCGTTTTCATTATAAGAATTAATTGGTTACATACCTTTCATGACACTTTGTTTTTCTTCCTTTTCTGGTTTGCATCTTGGAAACTTAAGCTCAAACTTACCTATTTACCACATTGAATTTTCCACCTATTTTGCAGATGATGGTGTTAAAGTGAACTCTAAAGATCAGAGAGATGCTCTGGTGGGAGAACCTAAATGTGTTATTTGCGGCCGGTATGGTGAATATATATGTGATGAGACAGATGATGATATTTGCAGCTTGGAATGTAAACAAGCTCGACTCTTCAGGATTTCTAACTCCTTGTTGCCAGTTTGCTCGTCATCTACTCAAAAATTACTTGCTACTGATGAATGCTTTTATGTTAGAGATTCTGTTGATAGATCAGGCCCTCCATCTTTAACTTGTGATCAAACTGAATTGCTTAGAAACAAACTTGAAATCAATGTAAAAGGAGATGCAGTTCCTGCTCCAGTATTGGCATTTTCTTCCTGTGGGCTTCCTGAGAAGCTCCTACAAAATATGGAAACTGCAGGGTATGTCATGCCAACACCGGTCCAGATGCAAGCGATCCCAGCTGCTTTAGATGGTCAAAGCCTACTTGTTTCAGCTGACACAGGATCTGGGAAAACTGCTTCCTTCCTTATTCCTATTATTTCTCTTTGTGCAAAATTTCGACAGAACTTCTCAAATCCCAGAAAGCCGTTAGCAGTGGTTCTAGCACCAACTAGGGAACTAGGTATCCAAGTTGAGGACCAAGCTAAGTTGCTTGGAAAAGGTTTGCCATTCAAAACTGCACTTGTGGTTGGTGGAGATCCCATTGCTAGACAACTATATCGTGTTCAGCAAGGAGTGGAACTAATTATTGGAACACCAGGCAGACTTATTGATCTTTTAATCAAGCAGGATATCAAACTAGATGACGTGAAGATATTTGGTCTGGATGAAGTGGACTGCATGCTTCAAAGGGGCTTCCGAGACCAGGTGATGCAGATTTTTACGGCTCTATCGCAACCCCAGTTGCTGATGTATTCTGCAACAATTTCACAAGATGTGGAGAAAATAGCAAGTTGTATGGCATCAGATATTATTACTGTTTCTATTGGCAAGCCTAACAGGCCAAGTAAGGCCGTGAAGCAACTAGCTATCTGGGTTGAGTCAAAACAAAAAAAGCAAAAGCTTTTCGATATATTAAGGAGCAAACATTTCATGCCTCCTGCTGTGGTCTATGTGGGTTCCAGAACAGGGGCAGATCTACTGTCTGATGCAATTACCATCACCACTGGAATTAAAGCTTTGTCAATACATGGTGCTAAGTCTATGAAGGAAAGGAGGAAAACGATGAGGTCGTTTTTAGTTGGCGAAGTTTCAGTAGTTGTGTCCACAGGAATTTTGGGTCGCGGAATGGACCTTTTAGGAGTGAGACAGGTAATAGTGTTTGATATGCCCAATTCCATTAAGGAGTACGTCCATCAGATTGGTAGGGCCTCTAGATTAGGCGAGGAGGGTATTGCAATTGTTTTTGTGAACGAGGAGGATAAGAAATTGATTCCCAACTTGGTTGATAGTTTAAAATCTTCTGGAGCAGTTATTCCTCGAGAACTCGGTAATTCACGGTATAATGTTGCTCCCATGCCATCAGGAAAGCACCCTAAGAAAAGAAAGTACGGTGGCTGAAGTCATGTGCCTCTTTATTTGTTGGCCTAATTTTCAGTGCATAGCATCGCAGTTGGTCGATGAAGCCAAAAATGCAAAAGCTTCTGTTCGCAACTGATTGTGTATCATCCCACAAACTCCGAATTAAGTAGGTTTGTTAGTTTGAAATAGTTTATAAAATACGCTCTTCAAGTGAGGACGTGTGCCTGACTGCATATTGTAAACAAGGATGAATGGTGTTTGATCTTGCACACTGCCCTTAAATTCAATTTCAATGATTGTATATATATATATATTTGTTGGTAGTTATGTTTTGTTCTATTTCAATGAAACAGCATATGCATATTCATTCAGGTAAGGGTAGGGGTGTGCAAAATCTCCTTGAACATGAATGAAAAAAGTAAGAATTTATTGCATAAACATGTTTGAGGATGTATGTACCTACATTACATTACAGCCTTGACAAAAGGAGAAATTTTAGATACCAAAAGAATAAATGAGGTGAGCCTGCAAAAATCAACCATCGGTCTATATAATAGCTTTGAAATCATTTCCAGTTATTGGCAACAATGTCGGCCAAATCGACAACCCTTTGGGAGTAGCCCCACTCGTTGTCGTGACAAGCAATCACCTTAACCATGTCATCTCCCATGACCATGGTGAGTGATGCATCAATGGTGGAGGACACATCAGAGCACCTGAAGTCGACTGAAACAAGGGGTTCCTCACATACTGAAAGAATACCCTTCAGCTCTTTCTCTGCACTCTCTTTGAAAGCAGCGTTCACCTCCTCAGCAAAGGTCTTCTTCAAAACCTGGACAACAAGGTCGACCACCAACACATTCGGTGTTGGTACACGCAATGTGATGCCATTGAGTTTGCCTTTGAGAGTAGGGAGTACGAGGGCTACAGCCTTTGCTGCACCAGTTGAAGTTGGGACGATGTTGAGAGCTGCAGCTCGTGCACGCCTGAGGTCACGGTGGCTAGCATCGAGCAGCCTCTGGTCACCGGTGTATGAGTTGTAGTCATGGTACCTTTGATGATACCTGTCATACATATTACTTTGTATTGCATGTCGAAAAACGTTAGTAGTTCTCGTAGTAGGCATATAGTAAAAGGAATTACCGAACTTTTGGCCCAGAACCTTGACGAAAGGAGCAAGACAGTTGGTGGTGCAAGAAGCATTGCTGACAATGGGCTCATCTGGGTTGTAGGTATCAGCATTAACTCCAACAACATATGTAGGAATGTCACCCTTGCCTGGCGCAGTGATCAGCACTTTATTGGCTCCTGCTTGAATGTGCTTACCTGCACCTTCTCTATCGACGAACACACCAGTTCCTTCGATCACGATGTCAATTCCCAATTCCCTACAATATCAACATGATCAGATCGAATGAAAGCAAACAATAGCTACTTTACATGAAAATACGAAAACAGAAGCTCTTACCCCCATGGGAGGTTGACAGGGTTACGGTCGGAAACAACCTTGATAACCTTGCCATCAACACTAACAGAGATGCCATCAGTGCCAACAGGCTGGACATCGGCATCGAAGATGCCAAGGGTGGAGTCATATTTGAGAAGATGAGAAGCCTGCTTAACACCACCAGTGTCATTGATGGCAATGACATCAATTGGGGAGTCCTTAGCCGTGCCAGCACCTCAAGAAGTTCCTTCCAATCCTACCGAACCCGTTTATCGCCACTTTTAGCTTCGCCTCTACCACCCCTTTCCTGTATCCGTTATTATTGTTTCCCAACTACAAAACGCATTTGAAATCAGAAAAATTAACCAGAGAGGCCTTAATTCATATACAGTTATGAACTCACGTGCATCATATATATATATATAAGTTGGAAAAGAGAGAAATGAACTCACAGCAGATGTCTGAAAAGCAACGAGTGAAACGAAATCATCGGAGTCTTTCCTGGCAAAGGGAAGGCTACCTGCGGAGTTGTGTAGGCCGGAGAATTCTGCAAAAGCAATACCCTTTCCTTTTTCCTGAAAGACACAAAGAAACTGTGGTTTAGGCAACATGCAAATGCATCAGTCGAGTAGTAAGTGCAATGATCCTGAACCTGAACAAGTGGTTTGGCTACAGAAACAGTAGCGGAAGCCATGGTGGTGAAGGAAGCTGCTTGTGGTGTGTAAGAAAGACAGAGAGACGATGACAGAGGCTTTAGTATGAACAAGTAGAAGAGACTAGAGAGAGAGTAATTGATGGTGGAGGGAACGAGAGGATGAGATTACGGATAGGATAGCGAAGGATAGCCTCTTCTTCAATGTATGGTTGTTTTGAGTGTTCTCATTTGTGTCTCTCCATGCTACATACATATCTTTCCGGAAGGATGCAACATGCAAGTAACATTTTTATGTTAGGAAAGAATAATTTTTAAAATTTTAGAAGAAATAAATTAATAAAATTTTAAAGATAAAAATAAATTATTAATAAAAAATATATTATAATTTGAAACTTTTAGAAGACAACTATTCCAACCCACAATCATGCTTTCAATCCATTATTATATTTTTCCATTCAGCCCATACCAGCCATCCATGATATTATATTACTCCCCCATTTATGGTTTGAGCTTCCTTTCGTGGTACAAAAAATCTGTTTTTTTTAATCGATATTCTTTATTCATTAAAAATATATCTATTGAAAATTAATTTTCATTTTTTCTCGAAAAGTTCATGTATGACAAGATTTGATCCATGGTTGGTGTAGGTTAAAGAAAACATTAATGAGAAAAAATCTACACTTTTTTCTTTTCTTTTCTTCTCTCTGTATTGTATATTTGCTATGACTCTGTCACTAAAGATCTTGTGTATCATAATTCATTAATGAACTTCCCAATTAAGCTTACGTCTTTCAATTTTTCTATGTAATGTTGGTAAGTCGAGATTACGTTCATTGATTTTAACTTTATATATTAATAAATCGCACCATGCTCTGTTCCAATTTTTCGATAATATGATCAAGAAGACTAATCCTAAATACCCTTCTATAGTATCATTATGATCAAATCTTCATAAGTGCTCTAACAGCAATTTAAATCACAAGGCTAATCCCGAGTACTTTTCAATATTAAACTAATCCATAATATTTATAATGACTATAACAATATTTATTATATCTATAATCACAATAAAATTAAGGGTAAACTACAGCGGTGACCACTCAACTATGGTCAAAAATAATTTTGACTACAGATATATTGATTTGATCAATCAGACCATCCAACTATTTTAAAAGCTTTAATCAAGTCACCTGTCGTTAACATTTAACGGACTAGGTGACGTGGCAGTTAAAATATTTTGGTATAATTATACAATTGATCTATGTTACTTATATATTCTTTCAATTTGGTTTTAATTGTAATAAATTAAAATAAATTTAATTCTCAAATCAGGAAGTGACATGTGTTATTGATGACACATGTCATGACATGTGTCATCATTCTATTGGAGGATTAAATTTAGTTTAATCTAACCTAGAACCTTTAGCTGAAATAAGAGGAGCCAAACCATTGAACCAAGACAACCATTTGGTATACTTTGGACAACAAATGATACACATATTGTATCTTTGTACGCGAATGTTTTGCTCAAAATTAATAATATTTTATATATCTTAATTTTTAAAATTATATTTTATTTTTTTAAATTATTTAATATATTTTATTTTAATGTAATATATTTTATCTTTATCACCACTTAAAAATATATTTTTTAAAACATCTTAATTTAAAATATATTTAGATATTTTATTATTAATATATATATATATATATATTATCTTCACTTAAAAATATATTTTATTCTTATTTCAAATTAAAATATATTTTATTATTATCTTAACTTTTAAAAATATATTTTGAAGTTAAGATATTTTAATATATTTTTAAAAGTTAAGATAATAATAAAATATATTTTTAATTTGAAATAAGAATAAAATATATTTTTAAGTGAAGATAATAGTCAAATATATATATTTATATTAAATTAATAATAAAATATTTAAATATATTTAAGTTAAGATATTTTTAAAAATATATTTTTAAGTGATGATAAAGATAAAATATATATTTTTGCATTAAAATAAAAAATATATTTAATAAATTAAAAAAATAAAAGATACTTTTTAAATTTAAGATATATAAAATATTATTAATTTTGAGCAAAATATTTATATACTAAGATACAATATACATATCATTTTTTGTTCAAAACATTCCAAATGGTTGTTTTGGCTCAATAGCTTGGCTTCTCTTATTTTACCAAATGTTTGATTTACCTTGCCCCTCTTATTGCTAAGATTTATTTTCTTTCAAATAGAGGGTGACACGTGTCACCTTCCGATTGGTGGAAAATAAATATATTGAATTAAAATAAATTAGAATAAATTTAGTATTCCAATTGAATGACGACATGTATAATGACAGGTGTCACCAATAACACATGGTACCTCTTGATTCAAAGATTAAATTTATTTTAATTTATTATAATTATGATCAAATTAAAAGATATACAAGTAACATAAACCAATTATAAAATTATATCAAAATATTTTAACTACCACGTCATCTACCTTGTTAAATGTTAACGACAGATGATTTGATTGAAGCTTTTAAATAGTTGAATAATCTAATTAATTAAATTAAAAATTGATAGTTAAAATAATTTTTACCATAATTGAGTAATCCTCCATGTAAGTTACCCTAAAATTAACTAAATAAAAATCGTTATCTAACAGCAATTTAAATCATGCCGTCTATTTAATTCAAAAAAGAATAAAAATCATGCCGTCTATTATTATAGCAAAGATTAGCGGCATTTTGAGGCAGAACAACACTTTGAAGTTTGACCACCCTCTTTTGTCTCCTTGTCGTAGACTGCAGTTTACTTCGTTCAGCTTGTTGCATTAGCTTCGTCTCCTATGCTTCTTCTCTGCATCGGCATTCATCATCAACCCGCCACTCCTAATTTCACCACATCGGGTCGAGCTGAGCATGTTCCGCTCTTTTTCTCGTGTCAACACGAAACACAAGTTTCTTTTTCAACCCAAACCCAGGCCTGGTGGCGCCGCCGCAACCATTTCCCTCTTATCTTCCGCCGTTGCTCGTGATCAAATCTCAGTCACTACCATTACCACTACACTCCTCCAAAAATGCAGCTCTCTTTCCCAAGCCAAACTCATCCATCAACAGCTCCTCGTCCAAGGCCTCTACCGAGATTTCACTACCCGCCTCGTTTGCGCTTACCTCAATCACGACGCCCCTTCTTATTCCACCTCCATTCTCGAACGCTTGCCCTCTTCTACCTCTGTTGTCTTCTTCTGGAACACTCTTATCCGACGCTCCCTTCACCTCGGGTTTTACTGTGACGTCCTTTCTCTCTTCCGTAGGATGCTGAGGCTCCGATTCGCTCCTGACCATTACACCTTCCCTTTTGTCCTCAAGGCCTGTGGCGTGCTTCCGTCCTTCCGAAGTGGATCATCTGTTCATGGGGTTATCTCTACCATTGGGTTGGATTCGAATGTCTTTGTGTGTAATGCGCTGGTTGCAATGTACGCTCGTTGTGGTGAGTTGGACGATGCGCGGCAGGTGTTCGAGGAAATGTGTGATAGAGGGATATGTGATATTGTCTCCTGGAATTCTATTGTGGCTGCTTATATGCAAAGCAGGGATGCGAAGAGTGCGGTGGAGTTGTTCCGAAGAATGACTTATGATTTGGAAATTCGCCCTGATGTCGTTAGCCTTGTCAATGCTCTACCTGCTTGTGGATCTTTGTGCACGTCTTTACATGGTATGCAACTGCATGGTTTTGCAGTGAGGAGAGGTTTATTCGAGGATGTTTTTGTTGGTAATGCTTTGATGGATATGTATGCAAAATGTGGGATGATTGATCAGGCAAATAAGGTTTTCGAAAGGATGAAGGTGAAGGATGTTGTTTCTTGGAATGCAATGGTTACTGGGTATTCTCAGGCTGGCAGGTTTGAGGAGGCTCTGGGTTTGTTTGAGAAGATGAGAGAGGAGAAAATTGAGTTGGATGTTGTGACTTGGAGTGCTGTGATTGCTGGCTATGCTCAAAAGGATCACGGTTATGAAGCATTGAGTGTATTCAGGGAAATGCAACTTTGTGGTTCCAAACCTAACGTTGTCACACTTGTGTCCGTTCTTTCAGGCTGTTCTTCTATTGCAGCATTAATTCAGGGGAAGGAAATTCACAGTTATGCCATCAAAAGTGTTTTTAACTATGATTGGAATGATCCAGGAGAAGACCTCATGGTGATTAATGGTCTAATTGACATGTACGCCAAGTGCAAAAGTACAAATGTCGCTCGTTTCATGTTTGATTCGGTTGCAACAAGTAATAGAAATGTCGTTACTTGGACTGTCATGATCGGTGGATATGCACAGCATGGAGAAGAGAATGATGCACTGAAGCTTTTCTCTGAAATGCTCCGAGATGGTAAGTCTATGAAGCCAAATACTTTTACCATATGTTGTGCCCTGATGGCTTGTGCACATTTGGCTGCCTTAAGGTTTGGTAAACAGATCCATGCTTACATATTACGCAATCGAAACGAATCTGTAATGTTGTTTATGGAAAATTGTCTCATAGACATGTATTCCAAATCTGGTGACATACATGCTGCTAGAGTTGTGTTTGACAATATGCAGCACAGAAATTCAGTTTCTTGGACGTCATTACTAACTGGTTATGGCATGCATGGCTATGGGGAAGAAGCTATCAAGGTTTTGGATGATATGAGAGCAGCAGGTTTTGTTCCTGATGGTATTACCTTTCTTGTTTTACTCTATGTCTGCAGCCATTCAGGAATGGTTGATCAGGGAATCAGATTCTTTGAAAGCATGCATAGTGAGTACGATGTTATCCCTGGATTGGAACATTATGCTTGTATGGTTGATCTCTTAGGCCGTGCTGGTCGGTTTGATCAAGCTCTGAAACTTATACATAACATGCCCATGGAGCCAACCACAATTATATGGATTGCATTACTTAGTGGTTGTAGGATCCATGGAAATGTGGAACTTGGGGAATATGCTGCAGCTAAGCTTAGTGAACTTGGTTCAGAGAATGATGGGTCATATACATTGCTTTCAAACATATATGCTAATGCTAGGCGTTGGAGAGATGTAGCCAGGGTGCGATATTTGATGAAATATTCAGGGGTTAAAAAGAGACCGGGTTGCAGCTGGGTTCAAGGAAAGAAAGTCACTGCTACATTCTATGTGGGTGACAGGACACATCCACAATTTGAACAAATATATGAGCTTCTTGTGGACTTAATTCAACGCATTAAGGCAATTGGGTATGTTCCTGAGACTAACTGTGCACTTCATGACGTGGACGAAGAAGAGAAAGGTGATCTTCTTTCTGAACATAGTGAGAAGTTAGCTCTAGCTTATGGCATTTTAGTCTCTACTCCTGGGGCGCCTATCCATATCACCAAGAACTTGCGTGTCTGTGGCGATTGCCATAATGCCATTACGTACATATCCATGATCATTGATAATGAAATTATATTAAGGGACTCAAGTCGCTTCCATCATTTCAAGAATGGATCCTGCTCATGCAGAGGCTACTGGTGATACAAAATTACCGATGGTGAAGCGAGTTATGCAATTTTGGCACTTGAAGAGGTACATCTGATAGGATGGTCGCCCGATGATGGAGTAAATCTGCTCTTGATATCGAGTGCAAAGGGTAGCCTATTATGTTTAGATTCAACTAACATAACATTAACACATATAAGGCCTCTGATGTAGAACTTGTTCTCAAATGGCTTCGACGAAGAAATACATGGAAACGATATTTGTATAGCAACACAAGCTTGACCGGCTAAGAGGTACAATTCGTTTTGTGTAGAGAAATACAGGAAAAAACAATCTCTGATTCGTTCTATATCGAAAAGAATGAGTTAATTCATTCAATAACAAAAAGAATGAGTTAGTAGAGTCATGGGATTGACCATTGGAATGGTATTAGGAACAGTTTCTTTTCAATAAGCTGCTAGCTATTTTATGTATGCTTCCCGTTCTCCATGTTTGAGGCCAGCTTAACAAATCCAATTGATAATGTATCATACTCTTGTAGATGCGGATTTGGATGATTGCGGATATTCGATTTATTTTTTATATATAATCAGATATTACAGATTTAGCTAATATTTAGATTATATGCTATTATTTTCTGCAATGGATTTGGAATATGTGTGGATATTAAATTTTCAAATATCAATCATCCGAATTCATTTTACTTTTTTGGATGACAGGATTACATGAGAGTAAAGCTTCTCTCACTTTAGAGACCAGCATTAATTCATTGTAATGCATGTAAAATGTACAACCATCTTGCAGGTACGAAAGATTTTGAAGAGAAAAAACCGAACCATGTAACAAAAATGTTGCCATATTAGCAGTCAAGGATTGTCTGAGTTAGCTATACAACAATCTCTGATGTTGGATTATTCAAAACATTATTCCAGTACCATGCCTTAAACCTACTACAAAACAATATCATAATAGGATGGCTGCCTGATTTCGCAACCCTCATCTCATGGCATTACAAGAACCCCCCTAGTTCCACCTCTTTCCCTCCTCAAACCGTGTAGTGCTGTCGGATGGTGTCGATATCCAGTCCTTTGAGCTTAACTTCGGATTCGACATGTCCTTTGAGTGTATGAAGTTCCCTCAACTTGGTAAGACACACGAGGTTTTGGATAAGATCATTGGTTTCTGATGTCAAAGGATTTTATGTATCACCTTGCAACTTCGGCACGCTTTCTGGCTTGTTCTGCAATCTCTGATAGTTCTTTGTGGTTGTTCTCCTTGTTTGTGATGTCGGGCGGTGTCGAGCCATGAAGGGTGCGTTGAGCTAAAGCCCACTGTGCTTCCCTCTCTCCTTTTCCATAATCATTCTTTGTTGTGAAGGCAGTCTATGAATTGAATGTACAAACAACACTCGCACATCAATGTCATTTGGTGGCATTGCGTTTATCGCAATTACTTACGTAACAAATTAATACCGAAAGAAGTGATTATATACCTTATTTTCAAGCAAAATGTTCCAAATTGTTCCAAGCCTTTCCAAAATAGCGAATTCCGAACTTGAGTACATCGAGTGGGAAGTAGAAGACTAGACTGTAGAGCCATAAAACGCCAGCCCAACCCCAGCCAATGCCTTTGATTCTTGCAAATCCCTAGTTTGCGTAAACAGCAAGTAGTGTATCTACCTAAAATTTTGAATCCAAAAAAGAAAACTTTATAACAACTCGAGAACAATACATTATACTCTAGCCAACTGAAGCTAATTTTTTTTATATTTTAACTTACGAGTTGTGCCAAAACGAAGGCAACCACGAGCAGGAGACCTGGACGTTCAATGAAAGACCAACTCCGAGAACGAGTGAGAAAAATGAGTGCTTGACTCACTGTACTGACTTGAAGGTATACAGCAGCAGTAAGTTCATCTTGATTGTGCCTAATGGTTCTTACCCCAAACTTATCCTGCAATTAGTACCAACCTTTAGAAGTCTCATATGTTATGGTTTTAAGAACATAAAAAGTGTTTAATATTTTTCTTACTGAAAAGAAGTTGGTATCGTTGGCAGCCCAGAAGAAAATGACAGTCATGACAGCAAGATAGGTACCAAGGACATGCCGGTGGCAAAAATCTCCTTGAGCTTCCATGAGTCAGGCAACCATGAAAGGAGAGAAATTGAACTTCCAAATAAGTGCGAGCAGCATGAAACCTAACACGATTCTGGTCGTAATGGAGACAGCATAGATGGTATAGTCTTTCATTCTCTGAAAAATGGCTCTACTTGTTAGAACAGCACTCACAATGACACTCAGTCCTGGTTCTGTAGTACTATATTTGATGCACTTCGAGCAGCATCAGTCGCATCGTCCACTGCAAAGCCGATGTCTGCCTTCTTAAGCGCTGGTGCATCATTCACACCATCTCCGGTCATGCCGCAAATATGTTTCCTTGCTTGTAGCCTCTTAACAATCTCATATTTGTGCTCTGAATTAGGAAAATAGTGACCCATATTCAAAGAGCGTCAAACTATACCAAATAATATTGCTAATGAGATTACCAGGGAAAACGCCTGCAAAGCCATCAGCCTTCTCAATAAGGTCATCAGCGCCAATTGTATTGATCGTGTCGCCCTTATTTTGACCAAGGATAGCAGATGATGGATACATGTTGGTTCCCATGCCGTGCCTGCGACCGGTTTCTTTTCCGATGGCTAGTTGATCACCAGTGATCATCTTGACATTGACACCAAGATTCAGAGCCCGACGAATTGTCTCTGCACTATCATGCCTTGGAGGATCAAACAGTGGCAATATACCCACAAATTCCGAAGGTTCTCCCGGGGCATCCTTGCTTTTCTCTTTCAAAGTCTACAATATCAAAACATTCATCTTATAATAACCTTCCGTTTATTCAAATTATGTTCCGGAGAAAGTGTAACCCCCTAGACCCGGCCTATGCGTTTCGACTAAGTCTAGTGGATCACATTATGATTATTAAAGACATTTTTCGAAACCGTTATTCCATCAATATAAAATCACATTATAAATAACATGAAATTATAAACAAATTATACTATCAAAATCCAACTCGTAAATATAGTACCAATAAATAATAATTTAATTTAAAACACGTCTTCAAATTCAATATCACAATAAACCGAGCAGTATTAGCAAAAGAGTTATCATTATAAAATCTGATATTTTAAAATAAGGTCCATGTCACCAAAATAAAGTCAACTTGCCAGATAAAAATATTACAATTTGATTTACTTCAAGAGATATGTTGATCCTTCAAGTGCTCGAACCAAGGTATCTAACCAACAGTATCTGAAAGGGGAAAACATTTTCAAAAGGTGAGCTAGGCTCAGTGTGTCCCAACATTTCCATAAAATCACAATAGGTACAAATCATAGTCCAGTAATCTCACAAATTCGTAAAAGAGTTTAACTTTTTGAAAATCATAGTTTAAACCCTTTTCTGGTACACCATCAGTAGTTCCCAAAATTATTTTCCATATAGCTTACTTTATGCACATAGCAAAAAGAAAGCCGACTTAAGGATAGGCTCTGAAGCTTGTATCCTTAAGCCCAAGTCAATAAGTCCATATAGCTTACCCTAAGCACACAGCAAAGGAAAGCCGACCTAATGAAACATCTTGGGGCCCTCAAGAGTCACATTAGGCCCAGTTAGCTTGATCAGAGCTATTCCATCGTATTTCAATTCCAAAATTCAATTGCACCGTGACATAAATTCCATAAATCCAAAAACATGGTAATCATATACCATTTCAAAACAAAAATTAGATAGCAGCCATATTCCATAAATTGTCACATTAAATTGGTGCATCCATAAAACAATAGCCAATGAATTCGGTGTACCACATATTAAAACCAATAAAACAGTTCAATAATAAGTAGGGAACACACCTCGACAATAGGTTCAAATAGCAAATTTACTGATTGCTGGTTTCACCACGCTCTACTACAATTTTCGAACGGGTGAATACTGGCACACGTGGTTTAACTGATCTAGAAGAGCTGGGTCGAGCTGTCGAACGATCCGGAGAGTCTCTTGTACCTTCAAACAATAATAATCCCAAATCCTATTTAATTGGTCAAAGCTAGTCTTCTTAAGTATATAAGCATTTTTCGAGTTTGACTATCAATTTGGGGTATTTCGAGTCTGAATTTGGCTAAACGGATTGCGGAAACGGAATCAGGACGTCGAAAAATATAAAGTATGACTTTTCGGAAATTCAGATTCTTGGTCAAAGTTAAAGTCAACCACTTTGACCGTCGATTTGGAGACCTTCGGGTTTGAATTTGGCAAAACCGACTGCGGAAATGGATTTGGCACGTCGAAAACTATCAGGATAGGTATACTCGGAAAAGATTTACGGTCGTTTAAGGGTCGGTCAAAGCCATTTTAAGTTTTAGTCAAAGAAAGTCAACGGTCAACGGTCACGGTCACGGTCAACGGTAGGGTCGGGTCAACAGTCGGGTCGGGTCAACCCGGTTCAGACCGGTCAAACCGGTTCAGACCGGTCAAACCGGTTCGAACCGGTCAAACTGGTTCAAAACTGGTCAAACCGGTTTTCCAGCAGCTCACTCTCCCTGCGGCGGCGCGTGCGGCGCGTGAACAGTGCCACGGTGTCGGAAAATTCCCGGAAAAATTTCTAAAAATTATTTTGAGTGATTTCGAGATACTTACAACGATCGGTTCAAATATTTGAACGGCGGAGAGCTCGTATTTCAACTCGGCCGAATCTTTGACTGCTCCACCTCCTCACGCGCCGCCGTCGACGGCGAACAAGGTTGTCACCGGCGGACTCGCAACGACACAAGGAACACGATGGTGCAGGAGGTGTCGTAAACGGAACAACGATCGGCGGTGAATTTAAGTTTTTCCCGGCGATAGAGCTAAAAAAAACGACGATGCTTTGACTGAAAATTCCCGACGTTTGGTAGCGTTTCACTTCAATTAATTTGAAGGGTTTGTTCCTCGCTTGATGATGAACACAACGGTGGTTTCAATTTTACGATTGGACGTCGAACGGCGTCGGAATCGGGCTTGGAAGTAAGGGTATGAGAGAAGGAAAATTGAGCAAATTCTCAATTGTGTTTTCTGATTTACAATCAGAAACCATGCTTAAATTATAAGCCTGTCGACACTCCTTGGAGGAATTCAGGGCTTGGTCCCTGAATTTCCTTCAACTTATAAAATGGCCTATAACTTTTCATAAATTTTAGTTCAGTCATTAAATTTCACCAATTTTCACAATTAACGTCCAATTTCAATTAAATATTATTTTGTAAATATTCGGGTTGTTACAATTCTCCCACTCTACAAGAAATTTCGTCCTCGAAATTTACCTTATGAGAATAGTTGAGGAAACTGAGCCTCCATTGACTCCAATGTCTCCCAAGTAGCTTCTGAGGGGCCTCGATTACTCCACTGAACTTTGACCATTGGAATTCGCCTATTCCGAAGAACTCTTTCATCTCTTTCTAAAATCTGAATGGGCTCCTCCTCATATGACAAATCCGGTCTCAGCTCTACTTCTTCAACCTGAATAATTTGACCTGGATCTGGACGGTATCGCCTTAACATAGACACATGAAAAACATCATGAATACGACTGAGGTGGGAAGGCAACTAAAGCTGATAAGCAACATGTCCAACTTTCTTCAGAATACGATACAGCCCAATAAATCGTGGACTCAATTTACCCTTACGCCCGAATCTCAATACTTTCTTCCACGGTGAAACTTTTAAGAAGACCTGATCACCAACCTCAAATTGTATATCTTTCCTTCTCTGATCTGCATAAGACTTCTGCCTATCAAATGCCTCTTTCAAACGGTCACGTATCAATCTGACTGTGTCCTCCGTCTCTCGCACTAACTCAGGTCCCAACGTTTTCCTATCACGCAACTCAGTCCAACAGATCGGAGTGCGACATTTACGCCCATAGAGTGCTTCATAGGGTGCCATACGAATGCTGGTCTGATACTGCTATTGTAAGCAAATTCAGCCAAAGTAAAAAATTTCTCCCAGCTACCATGAAAATCGATTACGCAACCCCGCAACATATCCTCAAGTATCTGAATCACTCTCTCAGATTGACCATCAGTTTGTGGGTGAAAGGATGTGCTATAATCCAATCTTGTTCCCAAAGCCGTATGTAGCGCCTTCCAAAATCTCGAAGTAAATCTCGGATCTCGATCAGAAATAATAGACAATGGAACACCATGCAATCTAACAATCTCTGAAATATACAATCTTGCCAGCTTGTCCAAAGTATAATTTACTCGCACAGGAATGAAGTGAGCTGACTTTGTAAGTCTGTCAACAATCACCCAAACTGAATCTTTTTTCGAAGGAGTCATAGGCAAGCTAGTAACAAAATCCATAGTAATACGCTCCCATTTCCATTCAGGAATCTTAATAGGCTGTAACAAACCTGATGGATGTTGATGTTCTGCCTTAACTTGTTGACAAGTCAAACACCTCGCTACAAAATTTGAGATGTCCTTCTTCATGCCGATCCAATGATACCTCTCTCTCAAATTCCGATACATCTTATCTCCACCGGGATGCATAGCATATGGACTACTATGAGCCTCAGTAAGGATAGTCTGTCTCAACTCAGCATCATCAGGCACACAATACCGACCTTTGAAGCATAGAACTTCATCCCGGTCAAGGGCGTAATCTGAGCTTGTCCCCTGCTCTACTTGCTCAAAGATGGGAATCAAGGAGCTATCAAAGGGCTGCTTCGCCTTGATCTCATCAACCAAGGTCGGCTTAACTTGCAATTCTGCTAACAAAGTGCCATCATCATATAAATTCATCCTGGCCATTGAAGATCTAAACTCCGATACCGTCTTTCGACTCAAAGCATCCGCTACAATGTTAGCTTTACCAGGGTGATAATCAATCACACAATCATAATCCTTCAGAAGCTCTAGCCAGCGCCGTTGTCTCAAATTAAGCTCCTTCTGGGTCAGGAGATACTTTAAGCTCTTATGATCCGTGAAAATATAACACTTCTCTCCATAAAGATAGTGTCTCCAAATCTTCAAGGCAAAAATCACTGCTGCTAACTCCAAATCGTGAGTAGGATAATTACACTCATGAAGTCGCAGCTGACGGGATGCATAAGCCACCACTTTACCTTCCTGCATTAAAACACAGCCAAGTCCTGAGTGTGAAGCATCACTATACACTGTAAAATCCTTCCCGGACTCTGGTTGAATCAACACCGGTGCTTGAGTCAAAACCGCCTTGAATTTCTCAAAGCTCTCCTGTTGTGCCACGCCCCAGTCAAACGGCACATTCTTCCTTAACAACTTTGTCAAAGGAGAAGCAATGATCGAGAAGCCCTCAACAAAACGTCGATAATAACCAGCCAAGCCCAAGAAACTGCGGATCTCAGATACGTTCTTAGGTCGTTTCCAATTCATAATAGCCTCTATCTTGCTGGGATCGACCTGAACACCTCGCGCATAAATAATATGCCCCAGAAACGACACTTCTTGAAGCCAAAATTCACACTTGCTTAGTTTGGCATATAGACGATGCTCTCTCAAAGTCCGCAGAACGATCTTCAAATGCTCGTCATGCTCTGCCTCAGTACGAGAATAGATCAGAATATCGTCAATGAAGACCACCACAAATTGATCCAAATATGGTCGGAACACCCGATTCATCAAATCCATGAAAGCTGCAGGAGCGTTCGTCAAACCAAAAGGCATCACTAAGAATTCATAATGACCATATCTAGTGCGAATAGTCATTTTTGCAATATCTGATCCTTTAACTTTCAATTGATATTACCCCGAACGAAGATCAATCTTAGAGAATACAGTAGCTCCTCGCAATTGATCAAATAAATCATCAATCCTGGGTAGTGGGTATTTATTCTTGACCGTCATCTTGTTCAATTTCCGATAGTCAATACATAATCTTAGCGACACATCCTTCTTTTTCACGAACAGAACTGGAGCTCCCCATGGTGAAGTACTATGTCGGATAAATCCTCGATCGAATAATTCTTGCAATTGGACTTTCAACTCTTTAAGTTCCCTTGGAGCCATACGATAAGGTGCCATAGAAATAAGTGGCGATCCCGGATAAGTCTCAATCTCGAACTCTACCTCTCTATCAGGAGGTAACCCAGGCAACTCCTCCGGAAAAACATCAGGAAACTCGCTAACTGTACGAATCTCCTCGATCGTGGACAATGCACCCTTGGTGTTCAAAATACAAGCAATGAAGGTCTCATATCCCTTCCGGATCATACGATCAATTTCCATCGCTGAAACTATATTGGAGAGATAACCACGCCGTTCACCAATTAACACAACAGTCCGACCATCTGAAGTCTTCAGAGTAGCCCGCTTGTATTCGCAATCCAGCTTTACCTTGTGTTTATTCAACCAATCCATTCCAAGAATTAGATCGAACTCCTCTAAAGGAAGCTCCATAAGATCAGCGAGAAAAATTTCTCCTTGAACCTCGAGAGGACAACGCCGGAATACTTTATTCACTAATACCGCTTGTCCTACTGGACTTGTAACTGTAACAGTATTTTCAGTGTTCTCGATCGGAATCTGAAGGTTTCGAGATACGGAGCTCGATACATAGGAGTGAGTGGAACCATTGTCCAATAATGCAAAGTATGGGGTAGAATAAATAGTAAATGTACCTGCAATAACCTCAGGCTCATCTCTGTCATCACGACGTCTAGTTGCATAAACCAAAGCTGGCTGTCTAGCCTCAGAAGCTGTTGGCCCTCTATTTTGCTGAGGTCGGGCTCTACTGTCTGTCCTGGACGTTGATCCTCGAGTCTTTCCTTGACTACGATCTCTAATTGGGGTCTGTACTGTAGTCTGCGAACGCACAGGAGTTTGGGTAGTGGTATGCTCAAACGAAACTAACTGAGGACAATCCCTCCGATAATGACCACTAGATCCACACTGATAGCAAAGACCCATCTTCTTACGACACTCTCCTGAGTGCTGTTTACCACAATACTCACAAAGGGGCCCATTATAATACGACGAGGAACCGCCTCGACTGACAGCTAAAGGTGAGGATGCTGCAGGCCTGAAACGTGTATTGCTTCTCTGAGGGGCTGAAGTACGAGTCCTCTTTCCAGACTGTGCTGATGACTCCATCGGGCCTGAAAATTTCTTAGATCGATCTTGATCAACACGCTCTCTACCAGAAGCTAAAACCTCCACCTCTTCCGCATCTTTGGCTCTGCCCACCAGCACATCAAATATCTCATCCTGATGGGTTACAACTTGCCTACGCAGCTTGTATATATTTGTAACGTCCCTTTGAGGGTCATATCTCAATACTCATATCCATACATCCTATCACACAAGAGTACAAAAGTAAAAATTAAGAACAAAACTGCAAGTACCTGCTGGAAGTGTCCTAAGTTGTTGGTGCTGTCAACGAGGTGAGCAGCTTTTCCGAAGAAGGTGTGGACGCCGGTGGCAATAACAACAGCCTTGATCTCACCTTGCTTGACAGTAGAAACCGAGAATACCTCGTCCCCTGCATTCTTGTTTATAGGCAAAGACTCGCCAGTAAGGGCCGATTGTTCATCTTGAGTGAATCGCCTTCAAGGAAACGTGCATCTACTGGGAAATATCTCCCAACTTAATGCTGATGATGTCTCCCGGCACCAAAATTGAAGCTTATTGCTCGCTCCACTTCCCGTCACTTAGGACCTTCAATCATTCAAACATGCACAAAGGGTTAGAGACATCGATCACCGACATTAAAAAAATTCGAAACAAGTCATGTCTGGTTAAATCTAAAACACCTTGGTCTTAGGGGCAAGACCAGCCATAAGAGCTGCAGCAGCATTGCCGGCATTGTTTTCTTCGATGAAGCTAATCGTCGAGTTGATAAACAGCAACGCCACGATACCGATGAAGTCTAGCCAGTCTGGGGGCTTGCCCTGAATTTTATTCATGGAATTAGAGATTCCATATTGAATCCAAGTCTATAAATTCAAGCACATGAGAGAAAAAGAAAGAGAGATTAACATACTCCTCCATTAGCCAAAGCAATGGCCATAATTGCTGCAATCTCCATCACCCATGACAGAGGATTCCACATAAATCCCAATAACTTCAAAACCTTGCTTTCCTGCTTCTCTTCAAGCTTGTTTGGACCAAAGATGAGGAGCCTCTTTTGGCCTTCCTCGCTCGATAGCCCATCTTTGGTGCATTTCAACTTTTGAAACACTTCTTCAACAGGAATCCGCTCCTGCAATCCAACCCACATATCAAAATACACACACACACACACACACACACACACACACACACATATATATATATTATCAGAAACAAAGAAGAAAAATACTTACAAGGTCTACGGTCTCATTCTTGATTTCTTCCAAGCCGATGATCGTTTCCGCCATCTTTCTCTCTTCTTCAAACTACTTTCCCAGAAAGAAAAAAATATTGTTTCTTGTGTGTGTGTGTGTGTTTAAATAAATACAGTCTCTTTGTTTTTCTCTGCATGCAAAGCACAAAGTACGTCGTAAAGCTTGGATCTTTGTTAGTATTCAAGGAAAATGAGATGAAGAACCAGCTGAATTTTGGGTGAGTAATTTGTAAAGAAGTTAATAAGTTAGGTTGGTATAGTACAAAATGTAGATGAAGAAGATGAAATATTGATTGTAAGTGTTGGGGATGTAATATTTTTAATATCAGAATTGTGGGAATGTTGACCGTAAATGAGAGAAGGAGCGGCACTCTCTTGGTCCACGCTGCCCAGGTCCTTCGCCTATCACTTTGTCTTTTACCCACGTTTTTCTTAAGCCATAATCAAGGGGTCAATTATAAATCTTTTAGTAATAAATCATTGATAGAAAACAATGAAAATTTGATTAGAATTTTCATATTTTGAGTGAGATTAAAGGTTTAATTGAAAAGGATAATACAAAATTATAAAATATTATATTTTTTAAAAATTATGAACAAAGGATTGAAAATGAACTTTTAGATGTAGTAGAAGGATTAAAATATTGTTTTTATAATAAAAAGACTAAAATAAAATTTTAATTATAATATAGATTTTTAAATTTAAATATACTTTAATCTTTTATTGAATTTAACTATTCCAAGGGTAAAATAAAAGTATTGATATCCTTTAGAGGCTAAAAAACAGTGTAAATCGAGAAAACAAAAGGTATAATGATGAAATTAGCTCCAATGTTTATACAAAAGTTAATTTTGCTTCTTATTTTTTAAAGTATTTTAATTTTTAGTCAAAATAGTCCCTACTTAATAGAAAATATTAATTGATTAGCAGTCAACACATGTTACAACATAACATTTTCATGTGTGTTTAATTGATGATGTGGCATATATCACGTCATCTATTAAGCATATATGAAAATATTACGTCAACAACATATGTTGATTGTTAGTCAACAAACTGTTTCCATCTAAACAGGGGTTATTTTAATCAAAAATTAAAATACCGTAGGTTAAAATACTCCATAAAAAGAATAAGATTAAAAAATAATCATTTATGCAAAGGTTGAGGGTTAACTTTATCATTAGATCAAAACAAAAAATAGTCATAGTGACAATTTGTGAATTAAACCAATAAATAAAAAGATAAACTATTTACTGGGTCATCCACCTATTTCTTAGTTTTTGTTTTGATCACCTAACTATTATGTTTTTTCAAAATCATACATATAATTACATTTTGGTTCTGTTTTGATTACCAGCCGTTAATAAATTAACAGTGATGCTAACATGATATTTTTAATTAATTTTTAATACTGATATGACATTATTTTATAGTAACACATTATCATTATCGTTAATTTTTTAATAAAAAATGATCAAAATAAAACCAAAACATAACACGATGTATCATTTAAAAAATATAATAGTTGGATGACAAAAACATTAAGTGGACGATCAAATAAATAATTTATCCTATAAAAAATTCGCTGACCCGATCCAATCTAACCGAAGCAGGCCATTGTCACTTTGGTTTGACAATGGAAGCAGAATTCGGAAACCCGAAACCCTGAGCCTCCACTCCTTCACTGTCTAGATTCTTAAAACACCAAAACTTTTCCCTCCCATTCCTCTCTCTCTTCAATCTCCTTCTACTTATCTTTCTCTTCATTTCCTTCACTAGCTTCTCCTTTAGGTGATTGAACTCCCAAGGATCCATTACTGCTGCTGAACCCAAAACCCCTCAATAAACCCTCACTCTGCAGTTATGGCTTCCGCTTCAGGTGATTCCCTCTCCTTTTCTTTTCTTTTCAGAATTTGGGATTAGTCCAAATAAAATTCCTGCACTTTAGATGAAAATACTTTGATTTCATTTGGTTTTTAGAGTCAAAGTTTTTTTTGGTGTTCTTGAGTTTTCGATGAGCTATTTAGTTTCTAGGTCTTGTCTGTTTGATACCCAGTTTTTGTTGGTTTATAAGTTTTATGTAGAGTAGGGTATTAATCATAGATCTGCAAAGTTTGATGATTTTGAGTTTTCTTTTGGAGAAATTGGAGAGCTGAAAAGGTGTGTTATCGGCGTGTGCTTGTGTTTGTGTTTATTCTACGGGGATTAGTAATTTTAGAATGGTTTTATGGCATTTGTTTGCCTTTTTTTTAGTATCTTTTAGCTAATTAGAGATGCAAGTTAGTTTATGTGAATTTACTCAATATCTTAGTTGTCGTTGCAGGGACCCTGTGTGAAGCTCGTGGTACTGCAAGTGAAATTTCTAGGTGTGAGAGAGATCTTGACACAGAAAATTGTGATTTACAGGTTACATCGCTGTACAAAAAGAGAAGGGTATCTTCAATTTCTGATTTATTGCCATATGTTTTGAGAAGGATAGAAGAATCCTTACCTAGTTTACATTCCCCTGATTATTATATAGAACCTTGCTTGAAAGATATGATGAGAATGGAACTCTTGGATCCTGGTTATTGCAGCCGAGTTCTGGATTTTGTGGTTGGAAGATTTGGTTACGGGTATGTAAAATTCTTTGGGGAAACTGATGTGAGAGGGTTGGATTTGGATCAAATTGTGAAATTCCATAGGCATGAGGTGATTGTATATGAAGATGAAAGCAACAAGCCCATGGTTGGTCAAGGACTTAACAAGGCTGCTGAGGTAACTTTGAGACTTCAAATTGAAAATTTAGACTTGAATAAGAAGGAAGTAGATGGTATTGTTAAGAAATTAAGACTGAGCATGAAAAGCCAAGGAGCACGATTTATTGCATTTGACCCTACAAATGGTGAATGGAAATTCTTGGTTGACCATTTCAGTAGATTTGGGTTGAGTGAAGATGACGAGGAAGATCTTATTATGGATGATGCAACAGGAGCTGTACAAGATCCTGGGGTAATGGCTGATGGTGGGAATCCTGAGATTGATGAAGATATGCAATTGGATAGTAATGGATCTTTGCTTTCTCATTCTCTTCCTGCACATCTCGGGCTGGACCCTGTGAAGATGAAAGAAATGAGAATGTTGATGTTTCCTGCAGAGGAAGAAGAGGAGCTTGAGGATTTTAGAGGGACAGGTTCTAATCAGAAACAAGGTCTTGCGAAAGAATATATAAAGTCCTCTTTGAATAACTCTAACCTGAGGATGACCAATAGGTCTAGCCCACCTGTTGTGCGGAAAACCCCTGTTGCTTTACTTGAGTATAACTCTGGTACTTTCGATTCAAGCTCATCTAGAACCATTCTGATGACACGAGAAAATAAGGGTTTGCCACTAAAGACCACCAAAAGGGAAGGTTTCAAGCTGGACATCAAACAAGAGACACCGGTCACTGGAAGCCATTCTCACAATATAGTTGATGCAGCATTGTTCATGGGTAGGTCATTTCGTGTGGGTTGGGGCCCAGGTGGCATTCTTGTTCACTCTGGTGCACCTGTAGGTAGTAATGATGCCCAGAGAGTATTATCTTCTGTAATCAATGTAGAAAAAGTGTCGATTGATAAAGTAGTCAGAGATGAAAATAGTAAAGTGAAGAAAGAACTTGTTGACTTTGCATTTGATGCTCCATTGAATCTTCACAAAGCCCTAAATTATGAAGAAAAAGCAGTGGAAGTTGGATCTTTTCAATTGAAACTTCTGAAGGTTGTTTCTAATCGCTTAGAGCTTTCTGACATTTGTAGGAGCTATATAGACATTATTGAGAGGCAGTTGGATGTTCCTGGTTTATCTTCTTCTGCTCGCTTGGTTTTGATGCATCAAGTGATGGTCTGGGAATTGATAAAAGTTCTTTTTTCAGAAAGGGAAAATACTGGTCAACTGAAACCCATGGCTTCTGATATTGAGGAAGATATGATGCAGGATATAAAGGAAGGTCCTCCAGAAGTCGACTTGGAAGCACTTTCTCTTATTAGGAGGGCTCAGTTTAGTTGTTGGCTGCAAGAAAGCGTATGTCATCGTATACAAGAAGAAGTAAGCTCAGTGAATGACTCAGGTTACTTGGAACACTTATTCTTTCTCTTGACTGGGCGAAAACTTGATGCAGCTGTGGAGCTGGCAGCTTCTAAAGGAGATGTTAGACTGGCTTGTTTACTGAGCCAGGCTGGTGGATCAACAGTTAATCGTTCTGATGTTGCCAGACAGCTAGATATATGGAGACGTAATGGTCTGGACTTCGATTTCATTGAGAAGGAAAGGATTCGGCTTTATGAGTTGCTTGCTGGTGATATTCATGGTGCTTTGCGTGGTATTAACATTGACTGGAAGAGATTCTTAGGATTGTTAATGTGGTATCACCTACCTTCAGATACTGCATTGCCTGTTGTTTTTCGAACTTATCATCACCTTCTTGATGATGGAAAAGCTCCATTTCCCGTTCCAATTTATATTGATGAAGGATCAGTTGAAGAGAAAGCAAATTTCAGCAGAGTGGAAAGATTTGATCTTTCATACTATCTCATGCTTCTGCATGCCAGTGAAGAGAGTCAATTATGCTCTCTGAAAACGATGTTTAGCACCTTATCTTCTACACATGATCCACTTGACTACCATATGATATGGCATCAGCGTGCTATCCTGGAAGCTGTTGGTGCTTTCAATTCTAATGACCTTCAAGCTCTTGACATGGGACTTATATCCCAGTTACTATGTCAGGAGCAGTGTCATTGGGCTATCTATGTAGCCCTTCACATGCCCTACCGTGATGATTTTCCTTACCTTCAAGCAATTCTTATCAGGGAAATTTTGTTCCAATATTGTGAATCATGGAGTTCACAGGAATCACAGCGCCAATTTATCGAGGACTTGGGTATTCCATTGCAATGGTTGCATGAAGCTATGGTATGTTATTGGTTTTCTAGATGATTTGTTCTAATTTTGTTCATCTGAAGCCTTTACATTTTACTTCCTGTCGGTCTAGCCCGAGTTGTTTTCTATGCTAACTTTTGGAGCTTTGCTGGTAGATTAGGTGCTCTATTTGGGTTAGATCCATCATTAATTTAGATTCTTTGCTTAGTGGCAGATTGTCAGCATCCTGGTTGGGTGGGATCTTTGAATCTCATCCTTTCTTTTCTTTCTTCTTCCTTTCTTTTTCTTTTTTTCTTTTTTGAAGATGAACTCCTTTTAGACTTGCTAGCCATCTCGATTGTCCTGTTGTATGCTTGTATCTGTATCTGTGTCTGTGTGTGGATGCATGATGGGGGAGAGAGAGTGGGAGGAGGTTATTTAGAGATCTGAAATGTTGGGTTTATTATTTAAATATCATGTTTTTCTTTGATTAACTCCTTTTAAATAACTAGCAATTTGGATTTTCCTGCTGCATGCTTGTCTCTGTATCTGTGTCTAGATGTGGATGTATGATATGAGAGAGAGTGAGCTCTGAAAGGTTCTTTGGAACTCGAGTGTTGTTTTACAATTGAGAAAAATTTCCTATGATGCAGGCAGTTTATTTCAATTACCATGGGGATTTGCCAAGGGCTCTTGAGCACTTTCTGGAATGTGAAAATTGGCAAAAGGCTCATTCTATTTTCATGACTTCAGTTGCTCATGCATTGTTCTTATCTGGTATGATCTTATTGCAAATTAAGTTTTTCAGATATGCCTTGTTAGCTTTGTTTTCCTGTTATCGTTTTTCGTTTCTAATGCCTTGTGGATATGACTTGAAATCAAAATCAAGGTCTCCCCCTTTCCTTTTCCCCAGTAAAAAACATAAAAAAGTATGATGTAAAATTATACCCCATCGGAAAATTTAACGGTGATGTGATCTACCGAATTTATTTGATTTAGAACTCAAAGGAATTTTATGTACATTACGGATATGGTGACACACAATATTACATAGCTGGACAGAATCACCTAGCTTTTTTTCTTCTTCTCTATATACAAGTCACCTCTTTCCCACCTAAAAATTTCCATTTAGTGTTGTAAAACATTTAATAAAAGAAAGTTTAGATACTACTAGTAAAAAGATGTTTGAAGGGGAAAATAGCTTATTCTTGACAAAATTGAGAATTCGGATTAAGTTATAGAATCAAGGGGGTTTAGTAATTCATTCTATGAATTTTCTGTTCATATTAATATTATCAGAGCACAAAATCCCATGTCCATGCATGGATGTGTCTTATCACGTGGGAGGTGGGTGACAACCTATACTCTTACTATTTTGAGACTCAGTCATGTAGATTATACATGTTAATTACTACTAACTCTTAGGGTCAATTTTCGTTTCTTTTCCTTCTTTTGGTGGTGGGGGGGGGGGGATACCAATGCTGGATTGAAGAATGTAATGCACAATGTTGGGTCACTGAAGAATTGATGAGTCAAATGCCGTTGATATAGTTAATCCCCGTCTTATGTTTTTTCTTCAATTCAGCCAATGACTCAGAGGTATGGAGGATTGCAACATCCATGGAGAACAACAAGGCAGAAATCGAAAATTGGGATTTGGGAGCTGGAATATATATTTCATTCTATGTGCTAAGAAGCTCATTACAGGAGGATAACAATACAATGGCTGAATTGGTAAGAAACTCATGGAATTTATTATGGCCATAGAATCTGAATTTGAATATAAACTATGTAGCTTGTTGGATGCTTCATTTATTAGTGAACCAAATTTTTCCTGTTATTGTGAACACTGTTTCCTGCTCATGGGGTTGTGCTGAATGCTATCCTACCTTAGCTTGTCATGTTTTTCTTACTAAACTTTGGGTTCATCTTAATGGGGTGGCCACTTTAAGCAAAGTGTAGCATGTCTAATATGCATGACTCATTGACTCTGCTTTCCAGTTTATCCCTTAATAACAAGAAGGGATCTGCCTAGTTAAAGCATTGTTCCCAGAGGCATTACCTTCTTTTGCCTGAATGGACTGGTGTTGGTAGTACTGCATGGTGCCTTTTGTGGGAGATGAGTCAAGATTAATGGCTGCAGCTCATTATGGTCTTTTACCTTTAATGCTTTTGGAAGAATTTGCTTGAAAGCTGCATTGCTGTTGAACTAAGTTGCATGCGAGATATTAATTCTATTAACATAAATGATGGTGGAAAAGTTTAAAGCTTGTCAGGTGAGAAAATATTGCTAATCATTTTGTCTGTGTGATTAAATCATAAGTTTTTTTCAACATTTGGAACCGGCTGGGATACAAAGTTGCCATTCTTCTTGTGAATGTTTCTCTTCTTCTTTTTAGTGTTTTTTTTCCTGCATCTTCCTATTAGATTCGTAATAGATTAAGCAATTGCACCCTTAAGCTGTTGAACCAAATTTGTGAAATATCAGCACACTTGATTTTTGTATTTCCTTTACAAGTGAATGTTGGTGAATTTTTCAGGATTCCCTTGACAGCAAAAATGCAGCTTGTAGGGACTTTCTTGGCCGTTTGAATGAGTCTTCAGCAGTTTGGGGTGGCAAGTTACATGTTGATGCGAGGTATTTATGTTGCTCTCTCTCCTTATGAATGTGAATATATCGAATTACTAGCTTAGTTAAAACCCCAATTCCCTGTTGAATCAACTGCTTAGTTGGATCATTTTCCATTGATTGTTCTATGTGCCTGCTTATCAACGACTAGCTTGGTTTCTGCCCACCTTGGTGTTAGTCATTTTTAATGTCGAAATCCCAATTCCCTGTTCTTTTCTTTTTTTCTTTCAAAATCCAAATTTTCCTCGATTTTATTCCAAACCTCAAAGCAGTGAATAGTTCTCCCCCCCCCCTTCATTTTCATGCCTATGAATATCATGTTCCAGAGAATCATCTTTTGTATCATCACAGAACAGTTCTGTATCCTCCTTTTCTTATGGTCTACTCTATCCGTACATTTTTATACTCTGGGGTCTTGATCTGTAGTGATTGGATGCAAGTTTATGTGAAACTATGGTGCAGGGTGGTTTATTCAAAGATGGCGGAAGAGATATGCAATTTTCTGCTTTCCGATACTAGTAGAAGTCAAACACGTGAAGACCAGTTAAGCTGTTATGATACCGTCTTCAGTGCTCCCATCCCGGAAGACCTTCGTTCAACTCATTTACAGGATGCTGTTGCAGTTTTCACTTGCAGTCTTTCAGAAGTTTTAAGTTAGTTTGTCTACGTAACCCTGTTCCTATTGATGCTTGGATGGTGATTTTGGCTTGGGGTTAGGAGCTTGATGTTGTAAAACTTGAACCTTAATTTCGTACCAAACTTCAAAATTCATAATTGTCAAGTTAATAGATATAATCACACAACCAAACAGTCTATATATATATATATTTACACATTTATATATTATATTTTTTTCATTTTACTTTTCGTCGATTTAAATAGATAGGAAAGTGGAAACTTGGTGTAAAGGCAGAGCTCGAACTCGAGCTTCATATTGCTTCGGTGAATCTAGTGTAAAAGACAATTACAACACAGAATCATATGCTTTTAGAACAGAAAACCAACCTACTTTGATATGCATTTCATGCAAGATTTCCATTTGTCTCTCTTATTCAACAGAACCTGACATTTTGATCAAAAAGAGAAAAATTCAACAGAACCAGACATGATACCAGAAACATAAAAAAAAACAAGATTCAGAAACAACACTGCAGGACAAATACCAAATTCAGACAACAATCTTATGTTTTTCAACTTAGAAATGAACAATAGTGGGCTTGTAGTCCAATACAATGACTTTGTCCAAGGTGGGCAGGAACAAGTTTGCAAATTCCACATGAGCAGGATGAGCTATGTATTTAGCAACCCCTTCAGTACTCTCAAATGTAGATTCAAACACATGAGTGAAACCTTGATGCATGTTCTCAACACTAACATCCTTGCCCCTGTTTCCATGAAAATGATTATTTTAGCACCACACCGACCATTATTTTATTGTTTGTAAAATCAGCACATGAAGATTCAAGCCTTTGGATCGTATCAATTGGAATTAGAAAAATGGCTAAAAGTAGAGAAGTTTTGGCAAGGGGTTTCAAGCAGGGACGTATCAAAGGGGCAGGGCAGGTAGGGCAGTCGTCCCCTAAAATTTCAAATTCTAGTATTATTCTAGATATTTTCTTTATATATTTTTACTCCATTAAAATTTTATAAGTTCATGCCCTAGCATACAATCTGAGTTTCTCATATCAAGGGACTAAGATCCAAAGTAAAACCACATAACCATCATCACCCCAGACAACATTTCTGGTTGTAGTGGATCTGAAGTTTATCTATAACAAGCCCAGATTTAAAATTAAAAATAAAAGATTTGATGAGGCATCAATGAAAAAAAAAAACACCAGTGAGAGAAAAGGGATAGCATGGCATACCAGTGGAAAGCTTTCATGGGTTCAATGAGGTTAACAAGATTGGCATAGCCTTTGATGAGTTGTTCAATCTGATCAGGCGTGGTGTCATCTTTGAACTTTGCCAACAATATGTGCTTCACAACTCCTTTTGCTTCCTCCATTGTTTGTTTCTGGTGTCAGTTGACACTTTGTTTTTCTAATCAGTTTATGGTTCAGGTTTCAGTGTTTCACGTCTCCCAACGCGACAGATGGGGGGAGATGTGCAGATCAACTATTTGTCACATCATTCGTTTCATAGGTCAAACAAAAACTTTCAGGACTAAAAAAAATACTTTTAAGCCCATTTTTGTTATAAAAACATGTTGGGTTTATAAGATGATTGTAATAAATTGGGTTTTTTTCCCATTTTAATACTGGTCTCCGTAAATGAAGTCTTGGTTGATTTTGATCTTAGTTCATTAATTTGAAAGTGTTTTTTATTACTAAATAAAAAATTAAAAATTAGGGTAAAGTAAAAAATGATCCCCCAACTATAGGATGATATTTTATTGAGTCCCCTAACTATTAAAATTTATAAAATGATCCCCAATTATAAGACGATATTTTGTTGAGTATCTATACTATTAAAAATTACAAAATAGTTACGTGACTATTCATATATTCCAAAATCTTCATTTTCTATTAAAAAATTAGTATTTGTCTGAGCTCGATGTTAATTTACTAAGACATGATAAAATCGTATGTTAATGATGTCTGTTGACATCATCGTTGCTTTCAAGTACTAGCTTACCAGCATAATGTTTCAAACACAAGTTTGACGATATAATGTAAATGGAGATTCAAACAACAAAATACAACTAAAATGATTTTGAAATCAGATTTTATCATATTTCAATCAACAAGTTAACGTCCATCTCAAACGGTTGCTAAATTTTTAGAGAAAATGGACGAGTTAAGAACATATGATTAGTCGGTGACTATTTTGTAACTTTTAATAGTAAGAAGACTAAACAAAATAACATCATATAATCGGAGATCATTTTGTAACTTTTAATAGTCAAAGAACTCAACAAAACAACATCCTATAATCGGAAGAGAATTTGTGTACTTTACCCTAAAAGTTTAAATATAGATCAAATACATGAGTTAAATATAAATACAGAAAAGCTTGGTTAGTTAGATTTCTTTTCTTTTTGCAAATCAGATTTTCTTTCACAAGAAATAATAAAATCATGACAAATGTCATTGTAAATTTTTAAAAAGTAAAAGAAAATAGCTGAAATATTTATCATTTTAATCTCACTTGTGAAGAAAAAATATTTTAGCGAAGAAAAATAATAAATACATTATTATTAATTATATGGTTTTATATTTGCATTGAAATAATGACTTCAAATTCTGAGATCTAAATTTTTCATTATCCAACATCTTAACCAATGCCGACTAGATGGCTAAGGTATCGAAAGTACGTGGTCCGGAGTAGCCGCAACTAGGCCAAGCATAGGATATGTAGTTCAGTTGGGCTTTAAAACTTAAATAAACTAGCAAATCAAATACCATCCTTCAAAATACCCATTGGTAAACAGCTGCAGCAGCCATTGATGCAGTACGAGGTAGCCCCGGATTCGGAATTAAAGCCGAGTGTAATAATAAACAGTGTTGAACAAGCAGTACTCCTTACAATAAAGCAACACACTGCCCTTTCATTCTTACAAAACTTGGGCAGGCAATTCCGGAGCTGTTAAATGATGTCTAATCAGCTACCTACTTTGCTTTCTTCGGCTTCTTACCATTTTGGCTGCTCGCTGCTTGCTTGGATGCCTTTGCAACATTTACTTGTTTGTTACTTGTTCTATTTTTTACCTTCCTAGCTTTCTCTTTCGGAGCTTCATCATCCTTTTCACTGCTAGCATCATCTTTACCACCACAATTGTCATCATCATCATCATTCTCTGTGGTTTTTCTTTTGATGGGAGGTTTTTTACCATTACCTTTAGGGTTTCCCCCCTTTCTAGATTTGGTGATTTTAGTGGTTTCCTCTTCCTCAGTCGTAGGTTCATCACCAGTGCCTTCTTCATCTTCATCATTATCCTTGGCCTTACCTCCTTTTCTCTTTGAAGTCTGCTTTCTAGGTTTACCTGCTGCTTTTGAAGCTGATGTTCCACTCAACTTCTGCAACTCCGGTACATATGCTGATGTCTATACCAGAAACATGGAACAGTTAAACAAGCACTTGATGGACTGACGAATTCTAATTTGGAATGACCTACCCTGCCACCAGCATTGATAAAATCAATTTTCTTCCCTGTCATTAGAAGGTAGTTCATATTATTTTCTACGAAAAGAATTATTAAAATAAAAAGCTAATAAAGATGAATGGAAATGTAAATAAATTGATATCAATCAGAAAACAGCCACACTGTTTAACAGGTGAAAATAAAATGAAGAAATAGAACAGTAATACATGCATGTTGTGCACGCTTAAAAGCTGACACGTTCATTTAGAAGGAAGTTGTCAATTTATCCAATGAAAGGAGATAATAGATAATGCTAGACCATACATATAAGTTCAAGAGCCAGACCATCAACAGAAGCCTTGCCAGGCTTCTTTTCGTGAGAATGAAATATCCAATTACTAGGGAACTGACTACTATCTGCCCCAACTTCAACTGCTGTTTCAATAACCTGTAAAATCAATTTTTTTGGCAAGATTGAGAGGCATCTTACCGTTAATTTTTCCAGACTTTTTACCCCACCGAAAATGAAATAACCAATCATTAGGAAAACGGCTGCTGTCATCATCAACTTCGACAGCATACTGAATGACCTACAGATATTTATTAACTTTATATTTTCCATGAAGAATGCACAATTATAACATAACATTTTTACCAACTACAAAATGGGTCGAAGGTTACCTCCTTGATGCACTTGTGTAAAGTTGCACAGTTTTCTTTGGACAGGCTGGAAGAAACCTGCAGAGGATGAATCCTTGCCTGCCACATGGTAAATTAAATGATAAACTTGGAGCAGCTTATAAATACTTTGAGTCCAAATATCAGCCCATTCAATAAATATATTTCCTATTTCTCATAAAAGTAAAATCAAATTTCACGCTTCAGAGGACTGATTCTGGAAGGCTAGTACCTTACCATACAGCCATACTCGACTCATCTTGTGAAACTATATAGAAAGCCCTTCACATGAATAAAGTTACTAATTGTGAAAGGAGAAGATATCCCCCAACCCAAAAGAATAAATCTTTAAACCCAAAATCAGAACTCCTGAACTGTTAGTTCCATTAATCGTATGCTATCTGGTTGGTTGCCCAAATACATGAGCAATCATCTTCTTCAATATACTTGGTACAGTAAGGGGACTGAAAACAAGAAAAGAGTGCAATGTATAGCAAACTTGAAATCTATTTTTGAACTCCCAACATTCTAAAACTTATGCTCAGTCATCAAGATGCACACGAAGATGTTGTGTAGTCAAAACTTATGGGGTTTTTTCAACGACCATGTGAAGGGATTTTTACGTTGTATAAATGAACACAGCTACTCATCAACATTAAGAGGAAAATGTCTCATAATATCAAAACAATTACTTACACATATGACATTGTAGCATATCAATATTCTATAACCAATGAATCTAAATTCAATATTTTCTATTTCTCTACAACTTTTCAAACTAAATAAGAGATTGAACAAGCTATCTTGAAGTGGAACTTTAAGATTATTACTTGTATTCCCTCAAACCATGTTATGGACAAAGCCATGAAAAGTATATCTATGGTAACTACAATCGCAAGTGGAAGCTCTAGTTTTTCAGTGCAAACATCGTAGAATTTTCCTTTGGATTATAATGTCAAAACTATGCATCAGAAATGTTCTGTATATACATTACATAAGAGCCTATATCATGGGGTTATCATGAACAAAATCTTAAATATGCAGTAAATCAGTAATCAATATTGTATGTAAAGATCTTATAAAAAACAAATATATATATATATATATATATATATATATATATATATATGTATGTAAAGAGTGCACTAACTTGGTATAGCACTTCATCTGCAATCCAGTTGCCAATTCCTGATATATAACTCTGCAAATGTTAAGACAATTAAAAAAAGTTTGTCGGAAAAATAGAGAGCTAGAAACAATAGTAGCACATCGAAGTAGATACTTTATCTAGGGTAATTGGAATTTTTTTCATTTACTTTTCTAAAAGAAGCTAAGTTACAGAACCAAAGAGGTCTAAGCCTATCAGTATACCACATGGACTTGTCTAGAGTCTTACATAATTCTCTTTTTCCTTTTCTCTTCTTTCTTTATTATTTTTTTATAGGAATCTTCTCTTTCTTTATCAAAGTGGGTCGTGATCTTTATTCAAAACCAATGGAAGAAGGTGCAAAGCAGGTTGCCATGTGAGAAACAATTGGCTCATACTAAAGCCGGTTTCAAGCTCAACCCTCTAACTTCCTACTCACCTCTAAACAATTTAGAGACAGAATATCTTCCCAGATCAATAACTTCCTCAATTCCTCTTATACATCATTTTCTGACAAAATATGGATTGAGTTGTGCTAATTTGATGTTCATATAACCCAGCAATAAGCCATTGTCTCTGATAATCACTTTCTTCATTGTCAAGACAGAATTCCTATCACCATATCAGACGCATATTCAGCACCCAAATCCATGTTGGGTTGTGTCAATAAGGGTTCTCGGATCTAATATCTGAGTCTATGTAATACTGATCTTTAATGGTTTAGGGGGCACCTAACAAATTTAATTACCTAAAAATTTAAAGAGCAAGGAGGCCAGAAGGATACAAAAGTGGTTTCACAACCTTAAAATGCAATCCATAACTGTAACAGAATGAGCTTGAAAACTAAACTAGTAAAGTTCATTCATAAAGGTGGGTGGATGAAAGGAAAGGGGCACTTTCGCCCTTTTGAGGTAGCTCAGCCATCAACAAAATATCTAGGGAGAGCTTTGGCCATTTACTTTTTCCCGATGGAAAATGCCATACCTACAGAATACCTTGGTTTTAAAAAGCGTAAAGCGCCCTAAAGCGCCTAGGGTCCTAGACGCCGAAGCGCTAAGCGTTAAGCGAAAGCGCTCGTTTTATGCACAAGAAGCGCCAGAAAGATCGAAATTCACAAAAAAAATACAAAATATTTATAAATTATCTTATAAATACTTAAATATCAAAGTGTCAATACATATATTCAAAACTTATAAGTAAACACCAAAATATAATTCTCAATTTACTTATAACTTATAAGTTATAAACACTTAAATACTTATATACGATTAACCATACGACTATACGAGCATACTAATATCAAAAGATGGTCTACACTAAAAGTAGTCTAAAGTGAGATCAATAAAAGTATTTTTCTAAACCCTCAATTCCTTATAACTAAAAATCCTCTAAATCGTCATCGTCATCAACTCGGACAACACCATCTCCTTCATCACTAGACACTCCAATATCTTCTTCCATCTCATCTTCATCAAGTAAGCATCTACGAGATGGTCTACTAGAGATAGGATTATGAGAAGGAGATTTTCCTTTATCATTTCTCGATGGTCCGGCTCCATCATTCACTACTTTTGATGCTCTAGTTAGATAACTAGGCTCATATGCACCGGAAGCGTTAGCAACATCACTCTATGTCAAATCCTCACCAACAAACACCGCCTCATCATCATCTTCATCTTCTTCCATTCTTCCCATTAACCACTCATTGCTCTCATCAATATCTTGCAAAAGAATGGGATCGGTCTCCTTACTTTTAGCTCGGCGCTCCAAGGCATGATTGAATTTCACAAACACCATGTCATTCAATCTAGATTGTGCCAATCTATTTCGTTTCTTAGTGTGAAGCTACAAGAAAGAAAAAAACCAAAACTGATAATTTAATAGCCCGCTAAACCCTAAATAAGCCCAAAAATCGTATCTGCTAAAGCCCAGAATCGTATCTTCTAAACTCGCGATTAAGCGCCGATTAGCGCTTTGCTAAAAGCGCTGCAAAAGCGCCGATTACTACCGCTTAATGAATTCGTAGTGCTTTTGCTATGCTGAAGCGCCAGGGGCCTCGCTCGCGTCGCTTAGCGCTTTAATCGCGCTTAAGCGGCGCTTTTTTAAACTAAGCAGAATACTTCAGTGATACAGTAAGAATGATTCATTCAACAGGATGGAAGTCCCAATCAGTGCCAAGTTATGAACACATCATAACAGGAAAACAAGAAATCAACTGAATGAAGGAAACAATAAAAAAACAAGCAAATTCATATATCTTTGCTCGCTACACGAAACAAAAAAAAAAGGCTTCAGTCATTCAATAAAGGATATGAGTCAGAGATGCACTGCAGAAAAGCAACTTAAGTACACTGCAATCACCTAAACAGCATCTAATACCGTAATTGTTAAAGCCAATTGTTTCATGTCCCCAGTCTACCCTTACAATACATTGGTCTCCAAGAACAAGCTTTGAAAATTACCATGATCAAGTCATGAAGACAGTATTCCAGCTCAAGTCATGAACCGGAAAAAGAAACTGGGAATGTTATATGCACATGATTTTCATATGCATGCATCAACCTGATTTCCGTCTTACAAAGGAAGTATTGAAAAATCACAAACATATTGGGCAATGCTGCTAGATACACCAGAGCCCATATGGAAACAGCCTTTAAAATAATTTCAAATACATTTAGGAAACTTGCTACTACCAAAAAAAAAAACTAGAGAGCAGAAAAAACACAAAAGCAACCATTTTACATAAACTGCTAACAGCATAACCAAAAAGAAAATCGTCTAGATATAAATACGAGGCTAAGAGATAGGAAAAAAAACAATAAAAGAATTTAAGGTTAATAAGAGGCTACAGACATAAAATCATTAAATATATATATATATATAGAGAGAGAGAGAGAGAGAGAGAAAGAAACATGACCACAACTGTTCTAACCTGATCGAGCAATAGAGCTTTAATGCCAATCTTCTTCTTGCTTAAGGATACCGTAAATTCATCAACTGCCATAGGCTCAAACAGTGCATCAGGGCCAAGCTCAGATATTGGGGGCACAGATGTCGGCTGCACCAACCAAATTACTTCAAGAAATAAACCAAACAAAGAGACAAAGTGTGTGAAGTTAAAACAAACTAAAACATTTAATAAGAAATTGAAATACATCTTTGAGCAAGCGGACTTTAGCAAATCGCCTCTTATCTGTGAAAGATAGCTCCAAACCATCATCTAGCTGCAAAAGAGCATTCAGATCAGTGTTACCATTGGCACAAGGTACTACAGCCCTGATATTGCCTCAGGTATACGACACAAGAAAAAGCTTTATAAATATCTTGAAAAGCTATTTGAAATTCAAAAATAAGAATAAAGAAAGAACCTGGTATGCCTCTTGTGAACATCATAAAGAAAATTGAAATAGGAGAGCATTAAAAGGAATAGAAACCAATACATTTGTCACTTAAGATATATATGTAGAAAAGCTTCAACTTTTAACAAAGGCATAGGATTCAAAAATTATATCCTATGTCAAATAAAGGGACAAGGTTAATGGAAAGAAGATTTGATATGAAAACAAAGTACTAAAAAAATATTAAAATTGTACAGATTGACAGGTTAGAAAGGTTGAATGAAAACATTCAAGGATATCTTAGAGAAAATCCACAGAACACATTGGATCATCGAATGAAAGCAATAGTTCTTACTTCAACAAAGAACTTTGAATATTTTGAAGGCCATTCATCATTGTCTTTTACTGCAGACCTATACATAAAGCTGTATGTATTAGCAACTACATTTTATTGAAGATAATAAGATTACTGGCATAATGCTCCTAACCAAATAAAAATCTAACAATGCGTGCAAAGATTCCTTTCAACTCATCAAATTAAAAGTCTCTGAAAACTAACTTCCAATAGCTCATTAAATCCTCTAAATTGATGTAGACTCCATATAGTTGTCACTATTGGTACTTCCAATTAATTATTGAAGGAAGGGGGGAGAGAGAGAAACAAAAAGATAAATTGTAACAAATATTACAAAAAATAAAAATAAAAAAAATCAAGGAAAGGTAAAATCATGCATTTCATCGTTCAAAATAGAAATCCCCAAACTTTAACGATTTAAAATATCTTTCACTTTTGAAACAAAGTTCTTACATTTTGCTTCCAAGACAACCAAAACATAATAAAAGTAAAAATACATAATTCTAGTGAAAATTGATATCCAATAAAATCAGAAAAGTAAATCACCTCTTATACTTTGCAACAGCAACACCTTTTATATAAATAGCACCAGCCATCCCTGAAATTCATTCAACCAACACCTATTATTTTAATAAAATGACCAGAAAACATATAATAAAAGAAATGCATTTTCTAGGGCGTTGAATTGAAGCGTACCGAACTGGAAAGTAGGAAAAGGAGGGGAATCAAGCTGGAGCCAAAGGTTCTTGCCCTTCCGGTGAGCTGAGACGATGGTCTTGCCAACGACAGCGGACTCGAACTCCGAAGAGGAGACTCCTTCGATGACTTTAGAGTCATTGGCTATAATCGCTCTCTTGATCTTCTTCCCCAAGCAATTCTCTTCTACAGCTCTTCTGGCTGCCTCTACCTCTGTAATCTCCGGCATTGCTTCGTTAGGTTTTTCCGCCCCTTTTAGAGCGCTTTTTCTCCTGGCGCGAGACCTTTGACAGAGGAAGTGTGACTCTGAGAGTGAGTCAAACTCAAATGATTCGACATTTTTTTCTCTTCCATTTCATGCATTAATTTTTATTGGGAAAACTACATTTCGGATCCCTTATATTTTCAGTATATCTTGTTTAAATCACCGGTTTTAAAAAGTTACATTCTGATTACTCTTGTTTTCGATAGTTTTATTCTGATCATTGGGCCGTTTATTGATTTTCTGATGTGGCACATTAGTGAAAATAATTAAATTTTAATTTGACCCTTAATTTTAGATAAAATACTAATTTGATCTTAAATTTTAGAAATCTAATCAAAATCCAACTCATTATTGTTATCGGTCATTGATGGTTGCCGTCGTCGATCATTGCCAATCGTTATTGGACCCCATAATTTTATGTTCACTCATTTTTTGACCTTTTGAACATTAATTCAATATTTGTTTCACCAAATATATATATATATATATATATATATATATATATATATATATATATTGAGCTCCACAAAATTTATATATAATCCTTAAAATTCATTTTAAATATATTGTAATAATAAATTTATCATTATATATATATTTTAAAAACAACGACATCAAAAATCTAAATCTATAGCATAATACATTCATATTATAATGATAATAATTATATAAATTTTGAATTCTTTTCGGTCTATTCTTTTAGGGTTTCCCTCCCCCCTTCCTTTTGAGTTCTTTTGACGATTTTGAAGTCTCTTCAATGGATGCAATAGGGAAGGATAGAGGGACTTGAATGTGTCACGAATATCATTAAGTTTCAAATTGCTAAGCCTGTTGTATTTCTTGCTCAAGAAGATGGGGAGGAGAGACTAGATATCTCATCCATCAACTTTTGTTGCCGTAAAAAATTCTAGAGTCAGGGTATTTGCATTTCCAAATCAAAATCATATGAACTAAAAGTCGTCTTCAAGCACATGATAGATGCAACGTTAGTGAGATGAGGTTCATTATTGTTATCCCACAAGCCTCTATTTTTCGAAGAGGAATAGACAATCAAAGTGTCAAATGAGACATGGGTGGCGTTAAAGCAATAGACAATGATCCTCGGGATTAACAGTAGTTGTTAGGTCAGTGGTTAACGAGCCACATCAGCTTTCCGTCACCCACGATAATGGTTGTTAACGTTGAGTGATAGATTTGTTATAAATCGACAACGTTAATAATCAAATTGTTAGTTTTGAAACTTCAATAGGAAAAAGAGAAACTCACTCAAAACTTGAGTGACTATTTGTGTAGTTTACCCTTTATTCTTCATTCTTAGATACCACATGTCTAGTTTGGTCCTCCGTGTTTAACTCTCATGGTTAAAGAAGTAATATATTTTTTAAAGTCGTGATAAACTTATAAAAGATCGCGTGTTTAATTTTTAGAATCTAAAATATATTACTTTTTTTAACTAATAAAGTTAACGACGCATTAACAAGATCGGTAAAATGAAATGTTATGGATAGTTAGAGGAATAATTTAGAATGAAGTTATATTTTGGAGCTGATATAAAACATTTTAAAGTTTAGGAGTCGATTTAAAATAAATATCAAATTTAGAGACTTCATATGCAATTGAATCTTTAAATTATAAAACCAGTTTGGTATATTAACAATTTTACTGTAAAAGCGATAGAGTGGAATACGCGAGGACCAGAACGGACCAGACACGTGGTATCTAAGAATGAAGAACAAATTGATTAAAGAACAATACTCGAATGTCTCAAAAGTCTCGGGAATGGTTCGGTTGAATAAAAAAAATGGTTGACCTGTTCGAAATCAGGATTATAGAGTATAGACCGATGTGAATCTTTAATTCGTTTTGCCTAAATACTTAATTGCATCAAGAAAACATTGGATGCCACATTGCACATAAATACTAAATTTCGATACCAAAATTTTATTTACCTCGTTTTCAAACAATAATATTTGGTCAATTTCCGAAAAAGATCCTTGTACTATGCATTTGTTGCTAACTTAGTCCATTTACTATAATTAGAGCATTTAAAGTCTATTATTCGAAATTTGTATTTTCACTTTTCAAGTCAAGTTTTTCATTAACTCCGTCAATAATTCAATACGATTTTTTTGCTAACTTAGTCCATTTACTATAATTATTTGAAATGGGAAAAGGCATAATATTCGTCCAATTATAAAAGATATTGATGTTTACGTGTCACATTATTACAGAGTTTTAAAAAATGGCATAACAATAACTGTAGGGTTAAATGATAAAAAAATTAATATCTCTTAAGTGAGATTTTTAATTTTGAATAACATTAAAAGAATAATATTAAATTTAACTCGAGTTCAAAATTTGTATATAATCAAGATTACATGACTACTAGACACTAAAGATATTGGATACAAAAAGGTTCCATACAGATTTATGATGGAAAAAAGGGTAAAATTAACTCTTTAGAATTGAAAATATAATTTTAGAAAAATATTTTTTTTATTAGTTTAAGGTGATTATAAGATAATATTTATTCGAAAAACTCTTAATCATTTGATAATTAACTCTCAAACACCAATACAAACATCATATTCAAACTTGAGACCTCTAGAGATAACAATAATCCCTTTAACCACTAAATTCGTTTGGTTCGTGCAATTTTAGAAAAGTGGAAATACAAGAAATGGTCGAATTATAACAAGGACTAAATCCAAAACGTGACGTAGTATAAGGATGTTTTATAGAATTAAACCAAGATAGATAAGGATGTTACTATGTTTGGAGTTGGGAATATCCGAGCTAGCTCAGTGTTAGCTTAGCATTCAATCTGAGTCCACCTTTTCACTCCAAAAAGGCAATAAAGCACTGAAAAAGAAACCAAAATCAGCAACTCCCTACTTACTACAACTGTTCCATTTTAATCAATCACAATCTTCCTCTCATCTCAATCAGATCTGTCGGTGCTGCCACTGCCATTGTAATATCTGTGAAAAACGTTCATCAAGACGAGCATGTACGGTAGAGATCCGTGGGGAGGTCCGCTGGAGATTAACTCGGCGGATTCCGCTACCGACGATGACAGGAGCAGGAGTCTGCACGACGTGGACAGGGCTGCGCTGTCTCGTCCCTTGGACGAGACGCAACAGAGCTGGCTGCTTGGACCCAGCGAACAAAAGAAGAAGAAGAGGTACGTCGATCTCGGATGCATCATCGTCAGCCGCAAGATCTTTGTTTGGACGGTTGGTACCTTGCTCGTCTCTGGCTTTCTCGCCGGATTCATCACCTTAATCGTGAAAACGGTTCCGCGTCATCACCATGGCAAGCCTCCCCCCCCCCCGATAACTACACTCTCGCACTTCACAAGGCGCTCATGTTCTTCAATGCTCAGCGTTGTAAGTTTATTTTCCTTTAGTTTTAGCTCGGAGGTAAGATTTTATTCTAGGTCGGCGAATTTAAAAGCTTATATCGGAACTTTAGGTCTTGTGAAATTAAAAAATGCTAAGAGTTGCGAAATTAAAAAAAAATAAGGAAAATGCCTAAATTTTATAGAATGGTTGGTTATTAGTTAGATCTGATTAAATCCATGTTTTTTAGAGTTTAATATTGTAATAGTGTTAAATACATTATAATTATCGTGATGATCTACTTTATAAATTGCACTGCAGCGGGGAAACATCCCAAGCGTAATAATGTATCGTGGAGAGGAAATTCTTGCCTCCAAGATGGAAAATCCGATGCCTCCTCTACAATTAAGGATCTGGTCGGCGGTTACTACGATGCGGGAGATGCTATCAAGTTCAACTTCCTGCATCTTTTGCCATGACGATGCTGAGCTGGAGTGTCATTGAGTACAGTGCGAAATACGAGGCTGCCGGGGAACTCAATCATGTTAAGGATGTTATCAAATGGGGTACTGATTATCTGCTCAGGACCTTCAACAATTCAGCTGATAAAATAGATAAGATTGCAGCGCAGGTGTGGTTATACTTGTAATATTCTCTATTTCACTGTTATTTGTCCATTCTCTATGCTAATCGCTATGTTATAAATTCGTAGGTTGGGGCAGGAGATACATCTGGAGGCAGTATGACACCAAATGATCATTACTGCTGGATGCGCCCCGAGGACATTGATTACCCGCGTACTGTCTACGAATGTCACAGCTGCTCTGATCTTGCTGCCGAAATGGCTGCTGCTTTGGCTTCTGCTTCCATTGTTTTCAAAGATAACAGGGCATACTCTCAAAAGCTTGTTCATGGTGCACGGACCCTCTTTGAGTTTTCCAAGGATCAAAGAGGCAGGTATAGTGCTGGTGGTTCTGACCCTGCCCTCTTTATAACTCTTCCAGTTACTGGGACTAGTTTGTTTGGGGCGGAGCCTGGTTATACTATGCTACTGGAAATATTACGTACCTGAAGTTGGCTACTTACCCTAAACTTGCCAAGCATGCTGGTGCTTTCTGGGGAGGCCCGGATTATGGCGTTCTTAGCTGGGATAACAAGCTTGCTGGTGCTCAGGTAACTTTATGCTGCTTGTCTGCTAGTTTTGCACCTTTTGTCACTGTTTTTTTTTGGATGAATTGAATTTTTATTATCCAAAGGAGCAATTCATGCTACAAAAAACATCCCAAATGGGAGTATACCAGTTATATACAACAAAAAATATTTAGTCTATACTCCAATAGCTACAGAGAGTAGAATTAACGTCATCGAGTCTATTAATGTTCCTACCAATTAACTGATTTCGGACAAGCTCCTTGATGATCTTCAAAAGTTGTTCCACGTCTCTATTTCTATTTTGAAAGATTCTTCTATTTCTTTCTTCCCAAATCAAATAGATGTAAGCATTCCATGCAATCTTCAAAACAGTGGAGATGAGAGATTTACCTTTCCATTCTTTACAAGACCAATCAAGCCTTGCTTCCCAAGACATGTGGGGTTTGCGCAAATGAGTGAGCTGCAATATTGAGTTCCACAGGGTTTTAGCAAAGCTGCAGTCAGCAAACAAGTGGTTTCTTGTTTCAATTTCCTCTTTGCAGAAAACA